CAACGCCTCTCCATTACTCGGCTGCCGCCGCCGGCCGCCAAGAGGGCTGGCCCCGGCACGGACCCACCAGGACGGCCACTTCGTCTCCTCCTCCTCCTCCTTATGAAGATGACGACCACTACGACGCGGCTGCCGTTGACGATGACGATGATGAGGACGACAAGGCCAAGCGCTACTCGCGCCAGACCATCAACTAGATCAAGTCTGTGTATTGATATTATTGTTGCTGCTTTGAAGCAATGGAATCGTTACGATGACGACCAGGTGCAGCATCGACTTCCAGGACGGCGTCTTCGTGCGACGGGTTCTCGCGGAGGATGGCGGACACGGCGCGGTCGAGCCGCGGCAGCCGCGGCAGCTCGTCGCTCGTCGCGTCCTGGTCGTCGGTCAGCACGTCGGCGAGGAAGGCGTCCACGAGGGCCATCGTGTCGTCGTGTGCTTCGGTCAAGTCTCGCTCCCGCGTCAGCCCCACCAGCCTGCGCGACGGCACACGAGAACCCGTGAGTCATGACGCACGAGTTGGCGGCGGTGGTGGTTGTGAGCGCGAGCTTACCGGCTGACGATCGGGGCGTAGAAGCAAAAGTCGTTCCAGTTGTGGTGGCCCGTGCCCTTGAGCGTGAAGCTGCGCCACCGGCCCTTGCTGAGCTCGCACAGCTGTCCGATGCGCTCCTTATTCAACCTGCTCCCGGCCAGACCACCTCACCGCATGAGTGGTCCACGACAAGACAACATAGAACGAAAGAGAGCGAAAGAGGAGATGACGACGCACATGAAGTAGGGCTCGCTGCCGTGCCACATCTCGGCGTTGATGAAGAGGACGGGGACGGAGGCATCGAAGCGCTGCGGGGGGATGACGCGATCGAACGCGGGGCCCTCGCTGCCCTTGAGCGGGAACATCCAGCCGTCGAAGAGGATCGCACCGCGCACGCTCGTGTTTCGCTCGGCGGCCGACTTGCCGCAGCTGGCCAGGCTGCGCGACTCGGCTTCGCGCAGCACGAGCCCGAGGCTGGTCCCGCCGCCGAACGAGTGGCCCGCCACCGCCACCTTCGCCAAATCCACCGCCTCTGTGGTGCCGAGGAGTCAGCGTGTGCTGGTGTGTGCTGGTGTGTGTGGTGGGAGACGGTGCCATAGAAGGGGCTTTCGGTGTCGCTGTTCCAGCGGTGCAGAGTGTCCAAGCAGGCCTCCAGGTCATCCACCCGCACGTCGAGCTGTCGATTGCGGAACTTCCACAGGTCTAGGCAGGTGCGTAGAAGACGAAGGTTGGTGAGCAAGCTGCCGGACAGCAATGTGCGAGGGGTGAGGGCGAGGCCTCACCATGACCGCCCAGCTCCTGGCCCGACGGTGAAGTCGGCAGCGGCTCGAAGGCGGTGAGGATATCGCCACGAGCCGGCGACACGATACTCCCCGACCCGTCCGTGTGTCCCACAGCCACCTGGTCACAACCCATCGCACATCGCACACGCACACCGCATACACGCATACATTGAGATCAACCATCACTATACACCGAGAGTGCACGTGGTGTGCAGTCCATACCACGACGTAGCCGAGGGAAGCCAGGCTGGAGCAGAGGTGCGTGTAGAGCGAGGGGAAGCCGTAGAGCCCGTGGCTGAAGACGATCGCCGGCCACCGCGGCCCTCCGTCGTCGGCAGCCTCCGTCGACGGCGCACAGGGAGCGGGCAGGAGCGGGGCGTCGGCCAGGGTGTTGGGGTGGACGTAGCGGAGGTGGGAAAAGAGGAGGGCCGTGGGCAGGCGGTACTGCATGGACTCGAACATGGCCTCCATCTGGCTTGTGAACTGCGGGAAGTAGTGCGACGTGCCGCTGTCGCCTCGGCTCTTGTGGGAGGTGGTGCGGCTGCCTCGGGCGGCCGGGTACCACACGTAGAAGGCCCGCCTGCCCCGTTCATCTCCTTCATCTTCTTCGCCGTGTCGGAAGCCCACGTCGTAGAGCTTCGCAGATCGAGCTGCAGATCTGGCACCACTCGCTGCGGCATCGAGATCTCTGGTCCGCGGGGCGGTGCGAGGTGGGAAGGGCACGGGCGGGAAGGCGAGGAGGGCGGCCAGCGAGGCGGCGGCCAGGAGCCACCCAACGCCCCAGGCGGCCCACCACGCCGGCCCTGAGCTCGGCCACGGCACAGCGCTGAGCACCGCGGGCAGCAGCGGGGCGGCGATGACGGGCACCAGCGGGACAAGCTGCCACAGGAAGCCGCCACGGAGGCCCGTCTGCCAGGCCAGCACGCCCAAGGGGGCGATAGCCAGAGCGAGGGCGGTGGTGGATGATCCATCAGTTGAGCTAGTTCCGGAGATGCTGGACCACCCGGCACCTCGGAGTGCCAGAGCGGCCACGGTGGTCGTCCATACGAGCGCTTCGGCGGGGGAGCGACGCAACACTTGCAACGCTGCCGCCACGCCCCACCACCACAACGACGAGTGGCCAGGCATCTGTGACGTTCGTTTCTGCTTGTTCTGGCGCCAACCTCGCAGCCGGAAAAGTTGAATAAACCAAAAGAAAAAAGAAAGAAATCAATACTATTTATTTAAAAAGAAACCGACATGTCGTCGCGGCTGCTGAAGAAGGCCCTGGCGGCGTCCAACCAGTTGTCTGAGGGCTACAGCCCCTGGGCTAAGTACAAGCTCAAGAATCCATCTTCCTCCGCGCACGAAGATGACAGGCGGAAGGAGGAGGATCTTGAGGAAAAAGAAGAAGACAACGACCAAGTTTTGGTGCTCGACGACGACTCAGCCGACGCAGGAGTGCGTGCGGGAGGCATCGGCAGGGGTGCGGGGAGGCCCGCCGAGCGCAGGGCGTCGGCGGGTGCGCCGGGGCGGGCCGCGGCAGTTGGCAGCGAGCAACCACAGCACGGCATGTCGTACCACAATGCTGACGAAGACTCGACCGTGCTGGACGACGACGACCTCGACGTGACCATACCCCTGAGCGACACCTTCCCCGGCCTCACCGCCGCGACGACGCCTCGTCGAGCAGCTGCCGCACCGCCCGCGGACCTTGACGACGACCATGACCTCTTCGAAGAAGGTACACCGTGCTGACTCTCTGGAAGACCCTGCCGCTGGGCCTGATGTCCATTGTGATGACGTGTGGTGCGTGCGGCCGCGCAGGGTTCTTCTCGATGGAGGCGGAGGTGCTGAAGGGCGTGCTCGACGATGGCGAAGATGGTGAGAGCAAAGTAGAAGGAGAAGAAGGAAAGGACGGGAAGAAGGAAAAGGAGCCACAACCGCAGGAGAAGGAGAATGGAGGCCCGGCGGCAGCGGAGAAGAAGTCAACCGCCACGACGGCGGAGGGGAGGAAGAGGCCGCGGGACGAGGAGGCGGAGGAGGCGACGGCAGCGGCGGATGGAGGCCAGCGGCGTGAGGCTGATGGCCGCGCAGATGGCGTAGCGGCCGTCAGCAAGCGGCACAAGAAGGCACCTCCTGCCGATAGCGATGCCGACGCCGCTCATCCCGATGCGGTCGATAGCGAGGATGCTGAGCAGGCCCCGGTGGTGGGAAGGAGTCGCGACGCCAAGAAGACGGAAAAAAGGAGGGAAGCCAAAGAGGTCGAACAAAAGAAAAAGAAGAAGAAGCAGGAAGAGGAGGAAGAGGAAGCAGAGGAGGAAGAGGAGGAGCCCTCCGATGAGGGCAAGGGGACGAAGAAGCGACAACAACGGAAGGTGGGCAAGGCAAAGGGCGCGGGGCGGGAAAAGAAGAAAGCGCCACCGGCCGGTGCGAGAAAAGGCCGGAAAAAGGCACCCGCCCGCACAACCAAACGGAAAGGCAAGTCGGCGGCGGATGATGAAAGCGGTGGCGAGAGCGATGATGGAGAGAAGGAGAAGGAAAGGGAGTCAGGTGGCGATGAAGACGAAGAAGAGGAACGACGATCTGCTTCCAAGAAGCGGAAGGTGCGTAGAGAGAGCTACGCGCAGTATGTGGCTTCTGGCTCTGGGCTGACGGTGACGTGTCTCCACGCGATCGAATAGGTAGCGCCCAAGAAAGACAAGGCTGCAACCGAACACAAGGTCATCAGCATCTCTGGCCTGCCGCTCGACGAACGAGGCCTGCTGGTACTGCCCGCCCTCTATGATGACGATGATGGAATGCTCCTCATGTGCTCACCACCACTACAAAACAGGGGGACGTGGCGCTGAACCTCGGCAACGCGATGGTGGTGCCCAACATACCGGAGACGATGACCCACGTCGTTGTGGGCGATAACAAGAGGACGATGAAGGTACTCTTCGGCCTCGGGATGGGCTGCTTCATTGTGAAGCCGGATTGGCTCTGGCAGTCCCTCGCAGCCGGCAAGTGGCTCCCCGAGCACGAATTCGAAGGTGTGCGCTCCTCCTACAGTCTCTTGCTGATCCCTCGCTCTGGGGCTGACTCTCCACAACCACGACAGCCGTGGACTGGTTCCCAGGTGCTCGGCAAGCTCGGCTGACTGCTGGTACCAGCCAACAATAGTAGTTGTTTGTCGGTGTGAACTCACGTGGACCTGACTTGCGGTGGTTCCCTGCCAACAGTTGAACGAAAGTGCAATCTGCTCGGCAAGCAAAGTGTATATGTCAATCCCACCGGCAACAAAGTCAGCGCACAAGACCTGAGACATCTGGTGGGCCTCTGCAACGGCAAGGTGGGTCCACTTTCGTACATCCTGTTGGAGTGCGTTAGATTGCTCATCTGATATGCGAGGGCCGTGTTGGGGTGGACGCAGGTAACAAACAAGCGGACGAGGGCCAACTACCTCATCTCGGCCAGGCCTGAGGTTGGAGAAGACAACCCGGCCCTGAAGGTGGTAAGGGAAGACGTACGTGCACTTCTTGCCTTTTTTTTTGTGGTGAGCCCTATCGGACGCACTGAAAAATTGGCGTTGTGTGGGGTGTAGTGGCTGCTGGACAGCCTACAGCATTGTCGCCTCATGGACCCCGAGGACTACGCCCCCGCAGCCAAAGAAGACTCCGCCTCAGGTTCCAGAAAGCAACAGCAGGAGAGGAAGAAGCCAAACAACGCCGGCAATCAGGAGGAAGAGGGCACCAAGAAGAATGCCACCAGGAAGACAAAGGCAAAGACGACAGAGGAAGAGGAAGCTGGCTGAAGCAGCTGGTTCTTTCCCGCCAAAATTTTCCCGCCAAAACAAGGAACGCAAACTTGAGTAAATTGACAATAGATTTAATTCAAGAGGGGAGAACTTGATAGAAGCCATCCAGCTGGACCACATGGAACGCTATTTCAAGCCTTTGAAAATAGCGCGGGTAGAAAGCTCTTCATCTCATAGCAGAAATGATTCCTCGGGATCGGAATCGATGACGAAGGAGGATCTTATGATTGAAGAGCTTCTCGCACCTCCCAAGCCCTCTCTCGCTCGGTGCTTCCTCTCCCTCCCCTTTACTCATCATGAAGACGCGCTAACAAATCGATTGCTGGGTTCCCTCTCTGTGGCGTGTGCAGAAGAGACCAGGGCTGGGGCAAAGCGTGGGGCGCCTACCAACTGACCGGCCGCCTCCCGACCGGCATGCGGGCCGACCTCCGCTGGCAGCACCTCCACTCCGCCTTCACTCAGGTCAGTTCACCTCAGTTCTCTCCTCAGCTCTCTCTCCTCAGCGTGACGCGTCACGCTGTATCTTGCCACCACAAGCACTCACACGCCACTGCAGGTCGCACACTACGAGCTGCCGGTCGCCGAGTCGTCGCGAGAGCGGGCCGTCAACGAAATCCGGTTTGATCCCAAGGTTCCCCGTTGGCTCCTCTGCTTGTTGATGTCTGCTGGGCGGCTCACAGCTCTGCGCCGCGTCTCAACTCATACTTCGCTGACGTGGGCGTGTCAAGGGCGAGTTTGTGGCGTTGGGCAGTAGCGACGGGCGGGTGCAGGTCCACGACTTTGCCCGCTTCGAGTCCACCATGCTGCCCTACTACTACAACCCGCCCGCCGCCAAGCCCCAGGATATCTATCGGCAGGAGACCCTCGTCGATGGTCTTTCGGGGGTGCGTTTTGTTTTGTTATTCCTCTCATCGCATCGTTCTCACAACCGTTGCTCAGCGGTCGTACAGCGTCTTGTCCCGAGATGAAGCGGCTTCATCGCCGATGGTGCCCTTCGACCCGCCGATCCTCACCATCAACGCGTGCGTTGTCCTCACAATCAGCTCACGTCCTACATTCTTGCACATTCACCTTCGCACACGCACGCACACACGATAGAACACACAATGTGGATACGGTGCAGTGGAGTCCATGGACCGAGAGCGAGCTGGTGGTGGGGTTCTCGTCTTGGCAGGACATCTTCGCCTACGACGTGGCCGCCTGCAAGGGCTCCGCCCCGACCCGCATCGTCCACAACAAGAACAAGAACGTGGGCGTGTGCGACCTCGCCTTCAACAAGCCCAGGTGGCCACCTCTCCACCCACCCACCCACCCCCCACCCATCCCACATCGCCAGCCTTTCTGACTCAGTCGAGCCGCAGAGGACTGCTCGTGGGCATCTCGAGGAACTCGTCGATGCAATTTTGGGACCTGCGGGCCGCATCGGAGCCGGTCTTTGCTTCGGCGTCTTCCTCATCTTCATCTTCATCGTCTACGTCCACATCGACCTCGACATCATCGACGGCTAGTCGATCACCGAGCATGAACTCTTCTACTCCACGACCGACATCAGCGTCTTCGTCGCAGCGTGCGAGCGGGACCAAGCGAGACAGAGACGCCTACGTGGGCGGGGCTAAGGAGAACGACGATGACGAAGGTGAGCAACAAACGTCGAAGGCTGCGAAGACGGCGCAGCAGCAGCGAGCCAAGCGACAGCGGGTGGACAAAAGCGACTTTGCGGAGGCGATGGGCAACCTCCTCCCGCGCACCGGCCTCGTGCGGAAGCGCGGAGCCTCGCAGCAGAGCGCGCAGGAGATCGAGCGCCGGCGTAGGCAGAAGGAGGCCAGCCAACGCTTGTACCTCCAGCCCAAGCAGGCCTTCGACCTACCACACGTCCGCAGTACTCTCTCCTCCCCCCCCGTCCAGCGCTGCCCATTCGCCACATTCTTCGATTGCTGATGATGACGGTCGGTAGCGAGGGGCAACTACAGCTGCCTGCAGGTAAGCGACGATGGCAACATGGTCTACATCGGCACCGAGACCGGTACGTACGCGCTTGACCGGCGCCAGTTGCTTGGCATGGCTTGAGATGAACGTTTGTTGTTGCTTGCTTGCTCGGCGGTGGTGCTGTGCTCCGATGTAACGAACACAGGTGACATTCACGTGTACGACTTCCGGAAGCCCATCTACGCGCTCCATACGCACAGCCTGGGCAGCTACGCCGTACCGGGCTTCACCGCCCGCGACGCCGAGCGCGGCATCTCGTCGCTCATCCTCGACCCACACCACCCCGATCGCCTCTATTTCCACCTCTCCTGGAACTCCATCTCTGGTACCGCGCTTCATAACTTTTTATTTATATTTTGCAACATATGTATAAATAATATTAACAGAAATTGTGATGTATCACAGGGCTGGTGGACTTGACGAAGGGGCACGAGGGCCTGGTGGCGCTCTACCGTCCGCCCGCGATCGCGCCATCTGCGGGGACTGCGGGCGAGGCCAGGCGACAGCCGGCGACCTCGGGCGCCGAGTCATTGATGTCGGCGGCGTTGGCCCCGGCCTACCCGTACCCCAACGCCTCGCGCGGCCGGGCGGCCCTCACCGCCGAGGGCGCGTGCCTGTGCGGCGGCAGCTACCAGGAGGAGGGCCAGTACACGGTTTCCATCGCCAACATGGCCGCGTGCCGGATCGAGGAGCCCGACAAGCCGGTCATCGACCTCGTCGCTCAGCACTACGACCCGCCCACCGCTGCCTCCATCATTGCCCGGTACTTGTTTGCGTGTGTGTCGTGTGTGTCGTGTGTGTCGTGTGTGTCGTGTGTGTGTGTCGTGTGTGTTGCCAGCTCTGACTGAGTGGGATGCGCTGCAGACGAAAGATCACGGCGCCCAAGGAGGACGACGAGGAGCGGAGGCGAAAGCAGGCGGTGCACATCAAAACGTACGCGCCCGTGACCTGCGTGGCCTCGCACCCACACCAACCCTATGTACTCGTTGGCACCACCGCCAACCGCCTCCTCGTCGCCAGCCACCAACGACAACACTTCTAAAACCACATCACTCGGCCTCCGTTGCCAGCGAACGTTTGCAACCATTTATTAGTACGGTTGTGGTTCTACTGGAGGTAGACGCCGTAGGTGCCCTTGAAGCCCGGGGTCGAGGCGCCGGGCTGGAGCAGGCTGTAGTCGTTCGTGTTGAAGCCGTTGGTCGCATGCGACATGGGCTCCAAGGCGATGCTATCACGTGTGTCTGTGCCGGTTCCCACGCAGATGAGTGTCATGAGTGCGTGTGCGATGGTGCGTGTGCGTGAATGCGTGCGTACCGGGAGTGTAAATCTGGAAACAGGGGAAGGAGCGGTCCTGCCAGAGGACGAGAGTGACGCGGGCCTCACGGTCGCAGAGGAGAGTGCGGTGGATGCCGCCGGACTCTTGGGAAAGCTCGGCGAACCGGAAGCCCGAGTCGAACTTCTTTCCAGCCAGCAGGTCGTCGTCCATTCCAGGCCACGACTCCGACCCGACCGGGATCCTGCTCGCGCCTACGATCAGCGTCGTGCTTGTGTATGTGTGTGTCGTGTGTCGTGTGTGTCGTGTGTGTCGTACATCTGCTCGTCGACTATGTAGGTCTCCCCAGCTTCCATGGTCATGCGCAGCGTGTCGATGCTCTTGGCAGGCAGGCGGATGTACGGATGCCAGCCTGTCGAAACGGAGCCGCCTCCGTGCCCTCGTTGTACGCCTACGGCCCGCAACACAACCCGCGGCACACTTGAGTGTCGCTGCTGGGTGTGTGCATGCATGGCGCGCGCTCGCGGGGGTAACGTGTACCACAGTCTCACATTCCATTCGAGTTTGCTTGCCAGGGGCGCTGATGAGGCGGTAGGTCAGTTCCACCTTGACCTTGAACGGATAGCCCGCATCCTGCCGACACCACCATCACCAGCGTCAGCAAAGGAGTGGTAGTGGGTGGTAGTGGGTGGTGGGGCGCACAGAGCCGTCGAGGTGGTGGACGAAGGTGACGGACGCGGTGCTGTCGCCGGCGGCGTCCTCGTAGGAGGCGGTGGTCATCGGCCTGTCGTAGAGGAGGCCGTGGAGGGAGGTATGCCGCGGGAAGGGCTCGTTGATGGGCAGGCCCTCGTAGCTTCTCCCGTCCGCCAGCTTGTACTTGCCATCCCTCACCCTGTTCGGCCACGGAATCTGGTGCATGCGTGTGTGAGAGGGTTGGCGTTGCCCACCGAAAGTCAAGCGCAGACCTGCTTGGGGGGAGGGGGGCGCACCAGCTGGCTACCCGCAAAGCGAACCTCTAAACGTGTGCACGCCAAGAAAAGCGTCACTACACTACACTACACTGGTGCTGAATGGTAGTGGGGGGGGGGCAGTATACCAGGGCCGTTCTGGAGTAGTGGAAGGAGGGTGGGGGGCGATGAAGAGTGGTCGAGGAGGGCGATCTGGCGAACGGCACCACCGTGCGCAGGCTCGAGCTCAACGTACTCCCCCGTGGCCCTGTTGCGAAGAACCACCAGCCCCTCAGACGACGTGGGCAACTCGACGTGCATGGCTTCTTTTCTCGGTGTTGGTGGTGGTGTTGTTGCGAGCTTGCAAGTTGTGGTTTTGGGGTGACCTCGCTCTTACCTCGAGTATTATTTATTTTTCCATTTTACCTAAAAATGCACAAGTGGTATTTAAAACAAATTGGACAAATAATTGTTGGTTTGGTGTATAAAATGGTACACGGGTGATTGTTTAGAGGTAGGACCCGAAGCCCTCCTCGCTGGTGGAGGTGCGATGGTACTTGACGATGAGGGCGGCGTCGTTGGAAGGAGAGGCGGCGTCGCCGGCATCGATCTCGAGGAGATTGGCGTAGAACGAAGCCGTGGTGGCCGCGCGCAGGCGGAACTGGGTGCGCGCGCCGGGCTGGCCGCCCTGGGAGTTGATGAGAGACAGCGCGCTGGGCGGGAGCACCACCTCGCTGTACTCTCCGTCGCTGTTCGGCACCGAGAGCGTCGCCACACCAGTCGCGCTCGCTGACGCCGAGTAATCGCCCTAATCGCACACAACACACCACACGCACACACCACGACACGACACGCGCCGTTAGGTTGTGTCAAGAAGAGGGAGGGGGGGAGTCGATGCTTCTGGGTACCTGTTCGAGGGAGTCGCTGTTGCCGAAGTAGCCCTGCTTGACGTCGATGCTGATCTGGCCCACGGCGCCGGTGAGGGACCTGCGGTAGATCCGCAGCACGGCCTGCGAGACGCTCATCTCCGGGACCAGGAAGGACGTGTCGAACGACAGGATCGTGCGATAGGTGTCCGTGTTGTAAAATCCTGCCAATCGAAAATCAAATGCGTTCCATTCATTGAGCGAATGTGCGGTGGCGTGGGTCCAGAGAAAGAGAAGTGAGAGGGTTGCGCACCCTTGTCGCCCACTTTGGCAACGCTGGAGCCGTACCCGTCGGCGACCAGCTGGCCGACGAAGCCCGACTCACGCTGCACGGCTGACGACACGGCCCAAATGTGTGAACTCAACGAACTGCCCAGGCCAAGCGAGCAAGGTACGTACCTTGGAAGGTGTACTCGTCGCCGCCACCGGTCGTGCTGGTGGTGGTCGAGGTGGTCGATCCGCCAGTGGTCGAGTCGCCAGTGGTCGAGGTCGTCGAGGTGGTAGAGGTCGTCGTGGTACCGCTGGTGGTGGAAGTAGTGCCGGTGGTGGTCGTCGTGTTGTCGCTGGAGAGCAAGAACCACTCCACCATCAGAGCGCTGTGGCCGGTTGGAATAGAGAGTTAGTCAACTGAGCATGGCTTAGCACGAAGGGGGGGAGCAGGCACGCGGGAGGTGGTGCCTGGCATCGGGACCCTTGGGGTCTGCGTAGGTGCCCGAGGACGAACCGCCACTCCACGCGTGGCCCATGCCCGTCACCTCCAGGAACTTGATCAACACCTGCCCGCTCTCCGGTGCCGTGTCCGCATACTCAAACAGCGTATACGCCTGCAGCGCGGATGTGCGTGTGCGGTGGTGTGCGTGTGCGGTGGTGAGCCCAGGAAGAAGGCGGTGAGCAGGCCTATATGGGTGGTGAGGCTTGCCGCACCCTTCCGCCGGTGACCTGGCCCTTGGTGGTCGCGGTGGGCACGTCGGTGAGGTAGCCGAGGGACTTGCCCTTGCCGAGAACGTAGTCGAGGGTGGTGGCGTACTGGGAGACCACCTGCTTGCCGTTGACCGACTGGACGGTCGAGTCGGAGGTGCCGTGGATGACCAGCACCTTCTGCACGCGCGCCTGGGCGCCCTCCTGCGCGTAGGCGCCGGCGCCCTGCTTGGCGGGGGAGGGGCCGCCGCTAGACATTGCCGTGTAGGCCCCGATCACCGACTCAGCCGCCTTCCACTCCAAGCCTGCGCCCACCGCCAGGCCCGCAAACACCTCCGGATACGCTGCGGCCATTCCCATCACCATCACGTTCACATTAGTCACCCTTTCTCACACAACACGCAATACATGATACACGATACGACACACGCGACACACAACACACGACACAAAGAGAGACCAAGGGTCGCGGGAGGATACCAACGGCGACCAGGACGGACTGGGCAGCGCCGGCAGAGAGGCCGCCGACGAACACGCGGGACGAGGAGACGTTGTAGGAGGAGATGACCTTGGCCGTCATGTCGGCGATCAACTTGTTGTCGCCATTCCGGGCCTGGCTGGTGGGCTCCCACCTGCCCTCGCCCGCGCACACACAGCCGCGTAAGCCATCACCGCTACAGTGGAGAGGGTTAGGAGGTGGTGGTAAGCGCACCAGAGCCAACACTTGTTGGCGTTGGCGGAGGAGGTCTGCTCGGGGTAGAGCACATAAAAGTTGTACTTCTCCGCGAAGACGTTCATCTGGGTGCCTGGGTGGTAAAGACACACGCAATTTTAGAGAGGGCTGCGGAACCTGTACGAAACGCGTAGACGCAAGCTTGGTTCTGATCCGGAAGTGAGGAGGTGGGTGCGTAAGTACCGGCCGCGAAGTCGGTTGGGTTTTGGGTGCAGCCATGGAGCATGACGAACAACGGCGACGCTTCATCGGTTCGCGAAGGAACGAAGAGCTGCGAAGAGCATAAGTTGAGTGCCACAGCCAACCAAAAAAATCGAAAAAAAGAAAGAACGAAAACCACGAAAATGAAGACGAGAAAGAAAACGATGATGTGGGGGGGGGGCAATGTCAGATAGGTACCTTGTTGGTGCGGCCTGAAGTGGGGAAATCAATGAAGCGACCGGCTTGGGCAACCCCCACAAGACAAGCCACCCACAGAAGGGCGAGGACCGCAACAGTGCGGGCTGCAGCTCCCATATTCAGTCCTCTTCTTTTTACGTACGATGTCACTCGTGGCTAGGTTGGCAGTAGTGCAGCTGTTGGATGATGCTAACTCTCTCGTCTTCTTCTCGTGGTCGTCGCAGCAAAAGAAAGATGTGTGCACCACAGATAAGGGGAGCAATATTACGTGGGGAACATGGTAGCGAGATGGGAGTGGATCGCCCTGTTGCCGTTTCGCTCCTGGGCTCTCGGCCATTTTTCTTCTTCTCTCGAAGGTTCGCGCACTTTGGCGATCGCCCAAGCGTGGTGCGAGGTGGGGTTAGAAGGTGGGCGGGCGCTTGGCCTTGATGGCAGTGAGGCCCTCCTGCAGGTCGGCAGATGCGTAGGAGTGTGCCTGCCCGTCAGCCTCGCGCAGCAGCGCCCGCTCCAACTCTGCACCGGGGCCATTGAGTCAACACACGATCGCACACATGACTTGCAGAGTGGACGTGCACAAAGGGCAGTAGGAGGGAGAACGTACGGACGTCGTCGTCGTAGCGAAGGGTGCGCACAAGGAGGCGTACGGCCGAGGGGGAATTGAGGGCAATGGTTCGGGCGAGGTTGAGAGCGTGGGGCAACACCTGGTTCTTCTCCACGGCCTCCAGCACCACGCCCAACCTCGCCGCCTCGTCACCGGTCAACGTCTCACCGGTCTGTCAAAGCGATGGTTAACTGTCGTTCCTCTCCAGTGGTGGAAACAGGTGCGTACGAAGAGAAGACGGTTCGCCACTTGCGGGCCGAGGGATCGGGGCATGTAGTGCGTAGCGCCCAGGCCTGCCTCCGCGGAATGCCGGTGAGGGGAGTGAGGGGGCACCACCAGAACGAACAATGAAGGGAAGAGGGTTTGGGTGTGGGCTTTACCGGGGTGGAGACCGAGCTTGACAAAGTTGGCGGAGAGCTTGGCGTCCTTGGCCGCGATACGGAGGTCGGAGCTCATCGCCAGACAGAAGCCCGCACCCACTGCCGGTCCCTGTCCACGGGGCCATACGAGGGTTAGGGTTGGCCGCGGACCGCGACACCACCACCACCATTGCAGCAGAGCGACGCACGTTGATTGCCGCAATGACGGGCACAGGCAGACTGCGAATGGAGAGGAACCTGTGGGCCACGACCACAAGACCCCGACGTCAGGCCGTGAAACCGGCGCCATCACACGTGTGAGTGGGGAGGAAGAGAGAGTTGAACCGTTTGTAGAACTTGAGCATGATCTCGGTGTTGTCCTCGGCCGGGGTCTTGGTGCGCGCCCAGAGGAAGTCCAGGTCGCCTCTGGCGAAGCACACGAGCGCGGGCAGGTGAGACGTCGGCCAAGACCACTTCGTGTCGGTTGTTGTTGTTGCCATAGCGCGCGTAGAGCGTGGTACCCGGCGGAGAAGGCAGGGCCAGCGCCGGTGAGGACGAGACTGCGGAGAGAGCGAGGCGGCATCGCAGCGAGATCGGCCACATGGGCGCGGAACTCCTCGCCCACGGCCTCCGTGAGGGCGTTGAACTTGTCCGGCCGGTTTAGCGTCATCACATACACACCTGTTTTTTTTTAATATTTACATTTTTTTACTCGAATTATAAATAGTATTTATTTAGTACCAACGTTGCGGTAGAGATGAGAGGGGGGGAAGGACCTGAGGGGCGGCCGTCTGGCAGGTGGTCGGCTTCGAGGCGCACCAGTTGCTCGCTGTTGGCAGAAGAGCCGGCGGTGCTGTAGAAGCGGGCCAGCGCACTGGCGCAGGAGGGGCGGGCGTGCCGCAACCGGAGAGAAGCTCGCTGCATCACTTGTCCACGACTGCAAAGATCTTCTGTTCTGTGTCGTCCTTGTCCGGAGCGGCAGTTCGAAGAGGAAAGAGAGGGAAAAGCCAGAAGAAAAGAGAAAAAAACGACCGAGCAAGCAGCAAGCATGCGGGCCACGGCAGGAAGACACGGCACAGTGGGGGCGCTGGCCCGGGGGCACATGAGCACCCAGGCAGCCAGCGGCCCGCTCACACGCTCGTCATCGTTCCACCTGCGCTGCGGCACCAGCGGCCTCTTCGCTGCCGCCCCTCTCCGGAGCCGTCTCGTGCCATGCCCCCAACGGGTTCGTGCGCACCTCCTCCCCCTTTGCTTGGTGACACCCCCTCCCCCTTTCTAGTAGGCTGACCTGTGCCGAGACAGGAGGGAGGTTGGCAGCTGCGTGCAGTGGTCCGCCGCATGTCCACGGAGTCCTCCGCGCCGTCGTCTGAGCGCCAGGCCGCTGCTGCGGGAGAGGGGGGCCGGAAGGTGGTCAGCCGCCGCAGTCCCGATGGGGTCCAGTACCAGGGCGAGGTGCGGCCAGCCACCACACGCGCGCCTCCTCATGTCTACCTTCCTCACGTGTGCACGTCGTTGCGCTGCAGGTGAACGAGGCGATGGAGGCAGATGGGGAGGGAGTGCTCATCCAGGCCAATGGCGCCTACCACGAGGGACACTGGCGCAACGGAGCTCCCCACGGTGCACCTCTCCCCTTGGCACCACACACTCCGAGCAGAGGAGGGTGGTTGGCATCATCACGGACTCATGCGGGCGTTCGGTACCAAGGTTGGGGTCGGAGCGTGGGGGCGGACAAGTGGACCGAGGACGACGGGGAGTGGGTGGCGGGCGAGCTGCACGGGCGGGCCACCCAGCGCCTGCGCCTCGACGCCAACCTCACCGCCACCTTCGACGGCGAATTCGAGCGCGGCATCCGCAAGCGGGGCACCCTTCGGGTACCCACCACCACCGCCACCACCACCACACGAGCACGACGCCTCATAGGGAGCGGGTGGTGGGGTGGCAGGTGAGTGACGGCCGGGTGTACGCCGGGGAGTGGACGCCGGCCGGAGCGCTGCGCTGCGGCAAGTACGTGGCCCCGATCGACGGCCGGCACCGGAACGTGATGGTGGGCGAGTGGCTCGAGGCCGGCGTGTTCGTCGGCCGCGTAAGCCTCCTCCGCACCCCGCCGCCGCCGGCCAGCGACGGCCCCGCGGCCTCTGCGTCGTCGGACCAGCAGCCGCACACGCCGGCAAAGGAGGAGGCCGCAGAGCCGTCGGCCGCGAGTGAAGAGGCGGAGACGGAGGGCGAGGTGGTGGAGGTGTCGGAGGGACGGTTCGACCGGGGCCTCCTGCGGCACGGCCGGCGCGCGGTCACCGGGGCCGATGGGAGCGAGGTCGTGTACGAGGGCCAGTTCGACGAGCACGGCGTGCTGGTGCAGGGCGCCCGCACACAGATCGCTGCGGGCGCGAGCTCCTTCGCGCTGCTCGAGGAAGGCACCTTCCGCGACGGTACGGCTCAACCGTGTCTCATCGTGTCCAGCGCTGTGGTGGTTGAAGCGCTCACCGCGGACTGCGCCTGTGACATGTAGGCTGTCTGGTCAAGGGCAAGCAGACGATGGAGGGCCACGGCGAGGCCGAAGGTGAGTGGAACCCAGAGACCGAGGAGTTCGTCGGTACGGCGAAGAGCACCGCCGGCACGCTCGAGGAGGGCACGTTCGTCAGGGGCCGACTGATCAAGGGCAAGCGCACCCTCGGTACGCCCTTCTTGGCTTGTCCATGACTGGCCGAGCGACCATAGCCCGGCCGACTGATGTGGCGTGTATGCGTGTACGGTGGGGCGGCAGCGGATGGGCGGGTGCTGGAGGGCGAGTGGGAGGCCGGACCGCAGGCCACGCGGTTCAAGGGGCGTGCGCGGGTGGGTGACGTGGAGATGGAGGGCCAGTTCGAGGGCGACCACCTTGAGGGCGAGGGCAAGCTGCACGACCACGCCACCGGCCGCCGCATCGAGGGCCACTGGCAGAAGGGCGACCTCGTGCGCGGTCGCGTGCTCCACCCCGACGGCCGCGTCGAAGAGGGCGACTTCCACAAGGGCAAGATGATGCGAGGCCGCATCCTCCACCAGTCCACGCGGCGAGACAGCTGAAAGCCAGCAGCATGGCCCACTCACCACCCCAAGAAAAGTTGTAGGATGTTGTTGCGAGCTGGTGGTGGAAAGAAGGCCTCGGACCTATGTCGTCTTGGGACTTGGACGAAAGACAGCGTTCCAGTTGAGGGTGGGGAAGATGGTGCAGACAGCGTCCTTGAGGCTGCCGAAGTGGTAGACCAGGTTCCAAAACAAGTCCGTCCTGTCCACATTGATGACTCCGTTTCGTGAGCTGCCGAGACATTGACCACATGCACACGACACACGCACAGCGGCCGCGCGCGAGAGACAGAGCGCAGTGCGCACCGTTCTTCGGCAAGGAGGGTTATGGTGAAGCTCTTTCGCCCGCCCTGCTTGTAGCGCTCCTTGGCCACGGCCTCGAGGCGGACCTTGTCGAAGAAATGCACACGCTCCTTGCGGTCCTCCTTCTGCTCTCGGCCCACCGAGAAGGTCACCTCCACGCTGGGCGCGAACACATGCTTGCACGAGGCGCAGCGCGTCTGCGAGGCCTCGGCCGAGTCCTGCATGCCGCTGGTGATATCGCTCTTGGACATCCACGTCGCACACCCCGGGCAGTTCTCCCCGAACACGAAGCGAGGCGTCTGTGTGAACGACCATGATGAGTAAGTCGATCATCGTAAAAGAAGGAACAGCAAGAGACTGTTTGATGCGTACCTTCTTCGGGTCGCTGGCTGCCCTGGCCCGGCTTCGCGCGAGTTTCTTGCGTTCCTGGTCGGTCATCGCCTCTTCTTGTGGCGGGTCCGCCATTGCTCCGCCACCTTCTTCTCGCGAGGCCTCTGCCGGCGCCGGTGGCGGATCGGCTGGCTCGGTCCGAGGAGGGCTTGCCGCCGCGACTGCAATCTGCCGGGGAGGAGAGAGCCGCGGCGAGACAGCAGTCGGCGCCCCGTCGGCGGCGGGCTTCTTGGCGTTGAACGAGAAGAAAGACCGGATGGAGCGGTAGTCGCGCTGTAGCCGCTCCTCCTCCAGCTGCTTCTTGAGGCTCTTTGGTCGCTTCGCCGGCTGCGTGATCGACGTCCTCCCGTCCTGCGGTCAGGTGAACGTGCGCTTTGAGTTGAGGCGCTTCTCCCCCCCCACGGCAACACCGCCGCGTACCTCACAATTTTGCTCCGCGCGTAGGAGGTTGATGCCGTCCAGGTAGAGGGTCCCTTCGTCCTGCTGGTCATCTACCTTCTGCTTCTTGGTGGGACTGCGGTTCTCCTCTGCCGACGCCGCCGGGGGCCTGCCAGCATGCGGTGCTTGCGCTGTCTCCACGTCCTCCCGGGTCTCGTCGATGGCGCGCTTGCCCTCCTTGAGCCCTGTGGGCCGACTCGCTCTGCCGTCGGGACCGCCGGTCTGACCTCCTTGCTGCACGCCCCTCGCTTGCCCTCTGCTCGGCCCACTCGCGCTCATTGCTTCGGACCTCTTTTGCTTTTCCCTTGCCTTCTCGTTGGCCTCTTGCTCCTCCTTCTCCTTGCGCTTGCGCTCTTTCTCCTCTTGCTCGGTTTTCTCCTTTTCCCTGCGCTCACGCTCGCGTTCTTCCTTTTCCTTCTTCTCCCTCTCCCTACGCTCACGCTCGCGTTCTTCCTTTTCTGTCCTCTCCTTCTTTTCCCTACGCTCGCGCTCTTCCTTCTCGCTGCGCTCACGCTCTTCCTTTTCTTTCCTCTCCCTCTCCTTTTCCTTTTCCCTACGCTCGCGCTCCTCCTTCTCCTTCTCCATACGCTCACGCTCTTCCTTTTCCTTCTTCGCCCTCTCCCTACGCTCACGCTCTTCCCTCTCCTTCTCCCGAGCCTTCTGCTGTGTCTCGTCGCTCTTCGCGCCTTCCGTCCGCATGTTGGCGGCCTCGCTTTTGCGTCTCTGCAGCGATAGCCGGCTCCTCCGCCCCACCGATCCTGCAGGAGAAGTCGAGCTCGGGGACGTGTGAGCCGACAGCTCAGGCGCGGCGGTGTTGCCGCGGTCGTCGTCCGACGTGCTCTGCGATTTCACCGACCGCTTTCCGACCGGTTGCTGTCTCTGCTGCTGCCTCTGCGGCATCGGCTCTGGCTGTTGTGCCACTGTCGACCTGAGCATGAAGTCCTTCTCCAGCGCATCCGCCATCGACATCAACTCGGTCGACAAGCCTGCCAACAGTGTAATACCCGTTACATGCACGGGACAGCGAGGTGAGCCCATGCTGGCCCACATTCACGCCAAAGTCCCCACAGGGAGTGGGGCGGGTACCCCATCCGGGCGATTCCAGGAGCAAGGAAGAGTTTGCGCTGCTGCTGCGCACCGCGTCTGGTGGGGTCGCGGGCGTCATCGGCTCCTCTTGCTCCTCGGCCCCGCCCTTGGTTGCCGGTGCCGTCACCGCCTTGGTCTCCTCACTGCTGCCGTGACGTCAGGGCAAACACGGCACAATACGTCCTCAAAGGATTTGAAGGAAGGAGGAGGTGGCACACCTTGCATCAACCCCTGTGAGAGCAGGTGTCTGGTAGCGAAGGAGCTGGAACTGCAGGTCCGCCACCTCATCGGTGCTCCGTCTAATCTCGCCTTGCAATCGTTCATTTTCGCGCATCAGAGCCAGAACTCGTTTTATGAGCTGATCTCGAGAGAGGCTCAGGAGGTCGATCGTGGAGTCACAATCCTGGCGTGGCACCGACATCGCTCATCTCTCATGAATGATCTAACTCTCGTTTCAGTTTTTGCCTGCGAGTTCCTGGTAACGAAATCTTTTCTCTATTTTTCCTTCAAGTTTCCTTTTCTCTTTGTTGAACAAGAACGCAAAAAGGAAACCTACGGTCTCTTGGGCAGCTAAAGCAAGAAGATGAAGACAGTGAGGAGACTTGCGGGAAAGAAGGGGGCGCCAGATGATGAACAAGAAGAAATACAGGAAGCCCTTCAGCTGGCGGCTCTGGAGGCCTCCGCTGTGGTGGACGCCGGGACGCTCAGCTCATCGCCAAGGAGACAGCAGTGGCTGGCGGACCAGAAAGATTACAGCATCCGGATGAACTGCGTCATCAGCCCCTTCATGGCGGAGATTGCCGCTGAGCGTAAACTCCCTTTGTCTCACCTGTTTAATAATCGAGTGCCAACATCAGTCTACTTTTTCAGATGTAGATGACCTGGATGGAGTTCAGGCCTTTTCTGCTAAGGCGTCCCAAAGAGTGGCGGCCAAGAAGCCAAGGTACGAACGTATCAGCATTTGGACAAGGTCTGGTCGTACTAATAAAGCGGTGGGCAATACGCAGACCCAAGTCACTGGACCCCAAGGAGGCCCAACGCCTGCAAAAAGAGTTCGCAAAGGCGGAGAAGGAACGCCGAAGAAGGAGCGCAAAGCTCAACTCCTCGAAGATAAAGCGAGAATCGGCCTTTGTCTACATGCCCAGCATGCAAGCTGGTGGGGATTCATCTCCATTCATCACCGAACGACTATCGACAAACTCTGGTTCTGCTGCTCAGGAGCTATTCGACGGGCGAACCTTGCGACAGTTCTCCCCGACCGCAGTGCCACTGCAGCCTCTCGCCACCATGCGCCCGCGCTCCATGTGTATCCGCGAGCTGGCAGCCACAGCCCTTGCAGAACCCACCACCGGCGACACCTCCCCAACCCCACCCCCTGTGATCGATGACGGCATCCCCCCGGCCCTGCCTCCGCGGGAATGAAGTGGCTGTTCTCTTTGGTGTTGCGCTTTTGTTGTTGTTGTTGTTGGCGGGTTCGATGTGCCCGTCGAAGCGGACGGCTACAACTACAGATTTGAAGTCAGCGGCTTCAGCTCTACTCGTAGTATTCGCCACCGCGGTCGGGAGGGGGCGGAGGGTAGGAGGCCGACGCGTCATCGCCGTAGTACTGCTCGTCGTAGCTGTAGCCGTCGTCGACGCCGCCCTCGGTGTAGTACTGGCCCTCGTCCTCGGCGTACTCCTCGGCGGCGCTCTGCTCCCAGCTGGCCGCTCGGGCAGGCGGAGGAGGCGGTGGCGGCTTGCTGCCCGCTGCCGGGGGAGCGGGCGCTGTTGATGCGCAGGCGGTGAGCAAACAAACAAATTGCCAGCCCAATGGGGGGGGAGAAAGAACGAAGGGGAGAATGGCGCACAAAAACGGGGCGGCGGGGAGAGTGGCGGGGGCGGAGCGAAGCCGGAAGAGGCGGAAGAGAGTGTGGAGGAGCGAAGGGGCGGGGGCGGGCTTAGGGCAGGCGGCGCCAGCGGTGCAGGCGAACTGCGTCCGGGCGACGCCATCGGCGGAGGCGGGATCGCTCCCGTCGGAACTACATTGTTTCGCGAATGAAGAACACACCAACACCACGACCACAATCAGAATTCGAGGCAGAACGCGAAAAAGGGGCGAGAGAAAGGGCGAGTACCGGCAATGGAAGCGCGGTAGCTGGGCACGGGCTGCGCGTGCGACTGCGGAATGGGTTCAAATGTGCCCCTGCACGAGACCCACCAAGGAGGGGAGTGTCAGCTGATTCCTTGTCTTCCTTTCGCTGAGAGGAGGCGATATACGAATCGAACGAGTCAGCGCGAGCGGGAGGAGAGGCACTCGGGTCGAGGTCCTTGTTGGGCACATGACGAATGGTTCCGTAATTGGCTCCCTTCTTGGCCTCCTGGATCATGCGGATGTTGGAGGGGCGTGGCGCCGGGTTCTTGGTCCTGTTCTCACGCAGGCCCTCCGTCACTGGGACCCACCACCACAAGCACCAGGAAACGAAACAGGAACAGAGCACGTCATCGTGTCAGGCAAGGTCGATAGACCCGTGACGTCATCCATTCCAGAAGACGCCGATGGTGTACCCTCGGTGAGTAGCTCGTGGAGTCTTTCGTGCATCCGCGGGTTGCCGCCTGCAGCCCTGCTCACATCATTGCTCGGGAAACGCACAGCTTTGGGGGAGGGGAGGGGAGGGAAGCGGTAAGCATGTGCAGCGATTGCAAAGGGCTAGGAAGGGAAGGGTGCGAACTGAGGAGCGTCTGGTTCCCGTTGGCGACGCAGTTCTTGAGGGCCTGCAAGGAGCCGAGAGCGGCGCCGTTGTTGTCAAAGGCGATCCAGGTAAGCGCCGTGTTGGCGCGCAGATTGTCGAACACCTTCATCAGGCCCTGTGCTCGCAGCAAGCGGACACAGCCAGCGCAAGGGGAGAGGTGAGTGGACTGGACAGATTTGCAGATCCGAGTGAGAAGAGGGAAGCAATACAGCGTCGCCGATTTTGTTGCCCGAAATGTCGAGTTCGGTGAGGGACTTGTTCTCGCCCAGGGCCAGGAGCGATTCAGCAAAGTTGGGTCCGAGGCCGTAGCTCTTGCCTGCATTGCATTGCACATCCAACACATCATAATAAAAACGTTGTCTCTACAGGAATGCCCAAACAAGGAGGAGTGGACCACGCGACACGTACCATCACCACAGAGCACGAGGGTCTCCAGGTTGTTGGCGCCGCCACCGCTCCGCAGCCAATCAGCCAACATGGCCAGGCAATCCCTGTATTGGCGATGACAACCACCTCGTGAGCAAGGTCGAGGGCCTAAGGCTTGGAAAAAGGCGGTCGGCTAGCGCGTACTTGAAGTGTGATCCGCCGATCTTGGCAATGTTGTAGGAGAGATCGACACACTTAAGGCTCTTCTTCTGCATCAGCGCGCTGACGACCAGACGGAGCCCGTCGTCCTTCAGCCGATTCTCCCGCAGGATGAGGGTGTGTATGTTGTCGATTCCCGTCAGCCCCTGTTTGTTCAAGCGGGTGTGAGCAACGTTGAGACACCAAAATAATGTGTCATACATAGCTCACAGCGAGCGGACAAGAAGTCACCTTGGCCAGGTGTTGAGCTCCGGTCGAGCCGAGATCGTTGCCGCTCAGGTCCAAGATAAGATCATGGATGCGATTGTTGCCTGTTGGACGTAAAAAACGATAGAAAAGGTAAACACTCAGATCACGCACTGCTTGGCGGCCGAAAAGTGTACCGGCGAGGGGAGCGAGAATGGTGGAGATGTCGGCGGGCGAGGCCTTGCAGAAGGCGAGGTTGAGCACGGAGAGGCAGGACGAAGACTCGATCAGCAGTCCAATCGCCTGCGCTCCGATCTTCTCCAGCCTGTTGTGGGCCAGGTTGAGGGACGTGAGGGTGTTGCTGAGACCCAACCGCAGCGAGTTGAGAACGTTGAAGACATCGAGGCTCGTGTCGGCGAGGTTGAGGTCACGCAGCACGCTCTTATCCTTCAGGTTGGTCGCCCAATAGCTGAGCACCTGCGAACCTGGGAATGCACTCCTATAGGTCAGCCTTCCGTCGCACTTTTAATCTCCGCTCCAATATCATGCGGGTTTGTCTGCGCACCTGACTTCTCGATCTTGTTCGCTGACAGGTCGAGCGACGTGAGCGTGGTCGCAATCGAGAGGTTGTCGCTCAAGCTCGACACCACACTCGAAATGCCTGTCAAGTCGCACAGAATCGTCTCTCTTGAGTTCAAGTCCCACACGAGCGAAAAGAGAACATAGCGGAGCGAAGAGAGGGGAGAGTGCACCTCGGGGAGTGATGGCGTTGTTGGCGAGGTTGAGGAGGACGAGGCCGCGCTGGAGGCCCATGAGACCCTGCGCGAAGCCCAACGCGCCCTTCTCCCCCATGCGGTTGTGCGAAAAGTCGACCTCCTGCAGGCCGTTGTTGGTGTTCTTCTTCAGTGCAGTGCCCACCGCCACAAACCTGCGCCCGGGCGAATCAGATGACGTTGCCGACAGTCAGCTCTCGAAAGGAGGTGGGACCGCGACTGTTGGAAAGTGGGAGGAATGCGTACGCGTCGGGCTGGGCGTCGAGGCCTGAAAGTGTGACTCGCTGGAGATGGGTGTTGTGTTCAAGAGTGGATGCCAGCAAGGCCGCTGCCTCCCGCCTTCCCGCAATCGAGCTCAATGACAGCGCGGTGAAGTACGTGTTGTTGTCTTCGTACGAAAAGAGGGCAAGCAGATGAGTGAGTTGGGGGGGGGCTGGATGGGGTGCGTTCAAACGGCGATGATTGTGCTAGGCACGTACTCAGGGCGCTGAAGAGGGGCAGGAGGTTGATGGAGTAGTCCGTGCGTAGCTCGATGCCGGGACAGCTGGACAGCGCGAGCTCGTCCTTGCCCGCCGCTTCCGTGTCCTCTGTGCGAAGATTGCCGGTACCGTGTTAGTGGTCGCCAGAGCTCCGAGCGAAGAGCCAGAGAGAGAGAGAGAGAGAGTACTGAGATTCTGCACAAGGCCGTGGTTGGGCTTGAGCTGGTAGTAGTTGCACCAGGCCTCGTAGGTTTCAACCAGGCCACCACATGGACCCAAGTCCGGTTGGTCCCATCTGTAACCGACGGATGTGAGCGACACAGTTTGATGTAGAGGTGCCCATTTGGCGCAAATGACGCAGGGCGGGCGAACCCTTGGCTCGACGGGGCGTCGAGGCGCGGGGTGTCCGCTTTGAACCCGCTGCCGAGCGCACGACGCGCGTCGCGGAAGGCATCCAAGACCTCCTGCGCTCGCGGGGTGGACACCTCCACCACAAACGGCGGGCTGCCCCCGAACTCGAACGTCACACCCTGCGGAGCCACACATCGACAAAACAACAAAAGAATAATAAATAATTAAAACAATAAATCATAGATAAAATGAAGTTACACACAAACTCGCTTATCTGTTCTCGTGGCACCAAAACAACCACTTTCTCTTCTCGGGGGCCGAAATTGGCAAGTGGTGCAGGGGGGAGAGGGGGGAGGGGGCAGCGTACGGTGGAGCCCAGGCCTGGCACGTCGCCCACGCGTACGCGGGTGAGGTCAAAGTAGTGGCCCTCTCTTTGTATCTGAAACAACCAACAGTTCCACCAACGTCACAGGTCACAAGCCAATGAGTATTACGGCGCGCGGAGAGAACTAAAATGAAAGAGAAGAGGGGAGGGGGTTCATACAGCTTTTTTGCCTGACACTTTGGAGCGTTTGATGGAGAGGAGGCGGTAGCGCCCGAGGACCAGGAGGCGGTCCTGCACCTTGTCGCGTTTGAGCTTGAGCACCCAGGCCACCCACCTGACCTCGTCCCCTCGCGCCCCCATCGCCGCCTCCACGAACCGGCGCTCACCTGCCGTCAACTCCGCACCCCCGCCATTGCCACCTCCATCCATTGTCGTCTTCCTCTCTTGGTGTGGTCTCTTCTTTTTTCGCCTTCTGGCCTTTTTCGTTTTCGTTTTCGTTTCTTGTGGTTGTTGTTCTAATACGCTGGCTGCGAGCCATTCAGCGCCCACCGTGCGAGGAAAGCAAGCTCAAACTATTCAAATAATCAATTGCCTTTTATTATAAAATAAAATAAAAGTCAAGTAAATCAAGTCGAATTAGTAATGGCTAAAAATCAGACATAAATCGCCTTTATATGGAGAGGCTGCGTAGCTTGTGGCTGCGGCCGCCAGGGGAAGAATATGTTGGATCGCAGGAGAGCGACAGAGAACCTGCAGTGGCCAATCCTGCGGCAGAGGAGGCCAGGAATGTAAATCAAGATCTTACTGATGTGTCGCCCGAGCGCGAGATGAAGGAGGAACAAGAAGGGCCAGTACCGACTGTACGCCCGTGGGAGCCCCCCAAGTCTCCATTCGGGCTGTTGCAGGAGACCTACCACACGAGCCCATGGCGCCTGCTTGTGGTGTCCATTGTACGTACGTTGGGCTCTTCTCATCTCTTCCCCCCCCACCGCTGTTCGTTGAAGTAACCAGAGGGAACGGGTTGGGTGGCGCAGTTGCTGAACGTCACTAGTGGACGGCATCAGGTTCGTCCTGTGGTGGGGGACCTCTTCGATCGCTACCCCTCCCCGGAGGCCATGGCCGAAGGTGCCTTGCAGTGTTCACCCTGCTCGCGTCTGGCTGCTCGCGCTTCGCTCCTCACCCCGTGGTGTGCGTGTGGATGTGCATTTGTGTTGCGCGTGCGTGCGTTTGATCTTCTCCGCAGCGGATGAGGAAGAGCTTGCGGGGATGATCCGTAGGCTGGGTCTGTACAGGAAGCGGGCGAAGGCGCTCGTCGACTTCTCGCGCACCTACCTCGACTCGCCTCCCTGGCGCACCCCCGCCGAGCTCAAGTACTTTGGCAAATACGCCGATGATTCATACCGGCTCTTCTGCCTAGGAGGCACGTCGCTCTCGCTCTGGCTCACGCCCCTTTTATTGTGTTCGTCCCGAGTGCGCTGACCACGACACACACACACACCACACACACACAACGCAGAGTGGCGCCAGGTGCGGCCGCGAGACAAGAAGCTTAAGCAGTACCGGGACTGGCTGTTCGCTCACTATGGTGCCAAGAAGAGCGAGAGCGAACTCGAAGAGGAACACGAGTGGGCCGAACAGGAGGTCCGGCGCAAACAGCGCATGAGGGAGGCCAGAGACCAGAGAAAGGAGGAGAGGAAGCGAGCACGCGCCGCCACCCTGAACTCGACCAAGTTGGAAGGGGACTTCGACGAGACGGGAATGGAGCAGGAGGACGACACAGAAGAGCAAAGCATCGTCGACAATGCTGAGGAGGACGTGCCACGACTACGAAAAGAGAGGAAGACAAAGAAGCGAAGGGCACCAGACGAAGTGAAGGCAGACGCAGAAGAAACAGGCTGATCTAGGTCCAAAATGCTCCCGCGCACGCAAACGACTTGTGGCCGCTCAGTTGCTTTCTTCGCTCTCCGCGGCGATGGCCTCCTTGAGCTTGCGCAGCTTTCTGTGCCGGTTTCGTCGATCGTACTGCATGTTGTACTACAAAGGGGTATACGGGAGCGCGTGTGAGCTAGCGGGGAACAGTTCCCAACGGCTTCCAGGAAATACGACAGCCGGAGGGGGGGAGGGACAGGTGGGAGCGCCCATCGCCGCCTTGCGCAAGAAGAGGCCCAGCGCTCTTCTGTTCAGGGCCGCTGAAGCGGAAGGAGGAAGGGGCGCACCTCTTCTTGAAGGCAGGCATCGACGGCGGCACGTTCGGCGTTGCAGGCCCCAAAGAACTTTGCAACGGTTCGCTCCTTGTGGCACTTGTCCAGCTCCAAAATAACCTTGCGGCACATGGGGTGTCCGGCCAGCGGCGGATGCATCTTGCGTGGGCGGAGAAAAAACAAAATCAAAATTCGAAAAGAAATAAACATGACGCAAATTTACCGTCAAATACTAAGAAACAATCTTCGTTGTTCGTCCGGGCAAACGATACAGTGCGGATGGACAGGCAGAGTGTAAATAAACTCCTATTTATTGTTCGAGGTGGGCACACTACCATATCACGCGAAGGTGGGAGAAATGAAAGGGTAGCAGGAGGAGACGAGTACAGTGCGGACGGGAAGGAAGTGAAGAAGCCAAAAAGGATACGGCACGGTAGATTCCCGGGTGGTCGCCCACCCCAGTACTAACACCGCCTGGCGCAGCTTAACTTCGCTGTTCGGATGGGAAGCGGTGCTTTCTGCGCAGTGTGGCCGTATCCACCGACTTCAGGTTTCACTGCACTCTTGACCAGCCCTCTCACTGCCGTCGCCTTGGCCGGCGGGAAGATCACAAGTGGTAGCACAGCCTCACAGGTCACAGCAGACTTTACCCTCTCCGGTCTAGATCGTACGCCAAGGGACATCTGTATGAGCACACGATGCTCGGGCACGCACACCAGCACTTCTGTGCGAGCACAAAGATAGTAGTCGAGTAGGGCAACAGCGAATGTCGATTTTCGCCACTTTTCTCTTTCTTTTTCTGAGCGGTTGTCGACAACAACTGCCAAGACATCTTTTGTCCAGCGAGAAACGGGTCTGTTGCCCTCAATTTCTTCTCATTCGACCTCGTCTTGCTCGTGCAACGGCGATCGGCACTCAATCGTTGGCAGATCTGTACCTCGTTCAGTTTTCAGAACTGTATTAGGCCAGAAGATGGCGATCACAAGCGAAGAAGTCAATTTGCTGGTCTATCGTTACTTGCTCGAATCAGGTATGAACCGAATCGGTCATGTGAAATGCGTTACTACTCTCAATCGTCATCGCCAGTGGGATCACTGTTGCCCCCCCCCAATTTAATTGCGCCTAATTATTGCGAAAATATTTTTACAATTTCAAACAGGTTTCTCTCATTCGGCCTTCACATTTGCAAGTGAGAGTCAGGTCTCGCGCAGCAATCTCGCCACTACCGACGTTCCCACCGGCTCGCTCATCTCCTTTCTCCAGCGAGGCCTCCAGTACAAGCAACTAGAAACCCATATCAACGAGGTTTGTACGCCGTACACGCGGCTGCTGTCACGCACCACACACACACAACACCACACACACATACACAACACACGCCCTGACGCGCTCGGCCCTACTTGTGTTGTGAATGCAGGAGGGGATAGAGGTGCAGTGTGATGCGCCATTCACTCTCACAGGCCATCACGTCTGTAATATAAGGGGCACAGTGAAGGAGAAAGACACCGACAAGGAAAAGGAGGAACCCCTCTATGAGATGAGAGACGCCAACCAGGAGTACTACTCGCTCCCGCTCCCGCTCCGTTCCCACCTTGCTGACCGTTTGATCATCTGGTCGTGCGGCAGGGGTGGTGGACCAGCGCCGATGGAGCAGGAGGAGGTCGAAGCCAGGGAGATTCCCGATGATCAGGTTACCAAGCTCGAAGGTCACACGTCGGAGGTCTTCATCTGTTCGTGGAGCCCGACCGGACCATTGCTTGCCTCAGGGTAATGCGACACAAGCTCTCTCTCTCTGTCTCGCACTTTGCTCTGCTTTGCTTTGCTCTTCACTGACCGTGCGTTGGCGCACTCCACAGGTCTGGGGACAGCACGGCGCGGATCTGGCGAATCCCACCAGGCCCTTGCGGGAAGAGTATGGTGGTAGAGCCCCCGATCGTACTACGACACTTCAACAAAGACCAGGAATCCAGCAAAGACGTCACCACACTCGATTGGAACGTCCGCGGGGTAAGCCCATCCTCCTCATCATTGCGTTGAGTCCAGCCCAAGGTGGTGCTATTTGGCTCATTTGTTTTTTAATCCGTGTAATTGCAGAGCGAAGGCGCGTTGCTGGCAACTGGTTCCTACGACGGCCTTGCTCGCATCTGGAGCGAAACTGGTGCGTTCCCTTTCGCTGCCGCTGCACGCGCACCTTTACCGCTCTTTATTCATTCGTTTATTTATTGACCATGTCCGCGTGCCATTCCATTGCAGGCCAGCTGAAGAACACACTCAACCGGCACAAGGGGCCGATCTTCTCACTCAAGTGGAACAAGTCGGGCAACTATCTGCTTAGCGGCAGCGTCGACAAAACGGCCATCATCTGGGACGCCAAGACGGGAGAGGTCAAGCAGCAGTTCGAATTTCACTCTGGTGTGGCCCTTTTTGCCTTTGCCTGACTCCTCGTCCTGGGCCTCTCTGCACACAACTAACTTTCTCTTTTCTTTTTCTTCCTTTCTCTGATCTTTTCTCTGCTCAGCTCCGACACTCGACGTGGATTGGAAGAGCGACACGTGCTTTGCCACCTGCTCCACCGACAAGATGATCTACGTCTGCGAATTGGGCAAGACACGACCAATCCGAGCCTTTGCTGGCCACCAGGCAAGTCTCTCCCCTCACTCAGCCAGCCTCTCTGCTTCTTCTTCTTCTTCTCTCTCTCTCTCTCGGTGACGACGCACGTAATCTAACCATCGTTCTCTACGTCTTCTTTGTGAATACAGGACGAAGTGAACGCCATCAAATGGGACCCCAGCGGCACGCTGCTGGCCTCCTGTTCCGATGATTTCACCGCAAAGGTACGACACCTCGACCAGTCCCTTTTGTCGTCGAGGTGCTCTCCGCGGGCTCATTGTTGGTCCCCTCCTCCGTTGCCAGATCTGGTCGCTGAAGCAGGAGCGATGCGTGCACGATTTTGAGGAGCACCAGAAGGAGATCTACACCATCAAGTGGTCTCCCACCGGTGTTGGCTCGCCCAACCCGAACAGGGCACTCGTGCTGGCCAGTGCTTCCTTCGACGCTATGATCAAACTGTGGGACGCCGACCGCGGCGTGTGCTTGTACACGCTCACCAAGCATAGGCACGACCTCTCTCCCTCCGCAAACCTTATTCTTGTGCCACGAGCGCGCGTGTGCGGTGTGTGCTGAAAACGAACGTGTCACGTCCACCCTGCGCCCCACACAGAGATCCTGTGTATTCCGTGTCGTTCAGTCCCTCAGGAGAGTATCTCGCCTCTGGTTCTTTCGATCGCTGCCTGCACATTTGGTCTGTCAGGGTACGCGTACCCTTCCCTCCCTTCCCAAGCAAAAGGGCGGGTGGCAGAGAAAGCGCTTGGCTCTCTCCTCACGTTCTCTCTTTCTTTCTCTCTCGCTGGCGTTTGTTCCTGCAGGACGGCAGCTTGGTGCGAACGTACAGAGGGAACGGAGGCATTTTCGAGGTGTGCTGGAACAAGGACGGGGACAAGGTGGCCGCCTGCTTCTCCAACAACACAGTGTGCGTGATCGACGTGCGGATGTAGGAGGCGCGAAAAGAGAGAAAAGCGAAAGCGAAAGAGAAAGAGAAAGAGGGAAATAAAAGGAAATAACAACTTTTTCTTAGGCGCGTGCGGGGACAAAGCTGAGTCCGGTGAAGTCGTTCCAGATGTCGAGGGTCTGGCGCCGGGCAGGGTGCACCGTGAGGTCCACCCGCGTGAACTGCATCTGGCCGAACACCGTGTTGACGGTGTAGTACTGCTGGCCGCGCTCATCAAACGCGCCGCCGAACAGGCTCGGAATGCCGGGCACGAAGGCCAGGTCGAAGGTCTTGCGGGACTGGAGGTCGAGCGCCACCAGGGTGTTGTTGGTGAGGCCCAGGAGGGTGTTGGTCTTGGGGTTCCAGAAGACCTGGTCGTAGCTGACGGCCACGGGGATGGTCTGCTCCAGGCGGCCGGTGGCGACGTTGAACTGCATCAGGATGTTGTTGTTGTTCTCGTCGGTGCCGCCGACGAAGTAGCGCTGGTTGTAGGGGTCGAAGCCCATCGAGCCCGTGAAGGTGGCGTAGTTGTCGTTGAAGCGGACCAGAAGAGTATCCTGACCGGTCACCATATTGATCTCCACAATCTGGTTTCGTTCAGTGAAAGAAAGAAGGTGTGTGTGCACTACCGCACTCGCGCACAATCGCACACGGCACACGCAACGAGACATGGGTCCGCACGCACCTCGTTGTGCTCATCCTGTTTGACGGCGTAGAGCTTGCGGTGTACGAAGTCGAACTGAATGTCGGTCGGGCTGAACGCCAGACCCACTCGGCCGGCAATGGGGAAGGGCGGATCGACCTTGAAGCTCACTATCTCCTGATCGCCTGTGTTTTTGTTGGTGCGGTGTGTTCCACAAACCAATCAACCACCCAACCAATCGGGGCACAAGCAAGTGTGGTCGGAGTTAAAAAGAAAAGGAAGAGGAAGGAGAAGAAGGGCACCCATGAGGATGAGGGTGCGGTTGACGGGGTCGAAGGTGAAGGCGGTGAATTGGAAGACAAGGTTGCCCCACCAGTGGGCAAAGGCCGGAGTGCCGGTGGCGGAGTCGAGTTGGACGATGGAGTTGTTGTTGGCACCCAGGTTGTAGGTCAGCGCCACCAAAAAGTCCTGGCTCGGCGGCACCGGCGCGCCAGCAGCACCGGCGCTTGCGGCGCACAGAAGAACGAAGAGCGAAAGAACCAACACGACCGGCAACCGGAGGACCTGCATCACCACCAAGAAAGAACGAAAGCGAAAACTCGGGCGCAGACGTAAAGCCAAGACCGTTGGCGCCACGTCAGCCGAAACCTTACGCGCCCACCAGAAATGGTACAGTTTTCTTATGTCAGCTGTTGGAGGCTCGCTGCCGAACACTGTCAAAACTGCCTCCTCGGCGCGGCAGCTGGGCCGATGTCCACAGGGCGGCATTCTTGGAGGGCATCCACCGTGGCGTCGTTTCCTTCGCCTCGTGAGGCAGCGACGCTACGAGAAGCGTACGTCGCGCGCTGTTGGGCGAGGTCGTCTGGCTCTGTGAGCGCTTGCTGCTCAGACTCTACGCATCACCACCCACCACCATGCGCCAACGGTGAGCGCCGCACGCAGGCGAAAAAAGAGTCGATGACGGGGCGGACGTACCGCTCGTCGGCTGGGCAAGGTCGGTGAGGGCGCCTTGAGCTCATCGTGGCCTTCGCCCGAGGAGGACAGATCGCCTCCACTCCCGCTTCCCTGGGAGTCGCACCGCTTTCGCCTCGCCCTGGTCAGACCAGAGGCTGCGCGCGGCTGCGGCTGCGGCTGCGGCTGAGGCTGCGGCAGCGATGCCTCTTCCTCGGCTCGGCCGATCGTGGATCCAGATGCGGCGCGGGGGGCCGTGGAGCCGAACGTGGCGGCGGCCTGGGGCGCGAGGCTCTCCCGTCGCTGTTTCACGAACTCCTCCATGCAGCCGATGAGGTCGGACTTGGAACAGGGCGCGGCCGCCAGCTCCTTGATCGACTGCGTCAGCAGCTGCCTCCGGGGCTCCAACCCCATCATCGAGTGCACGCTGGCCATCTGAATGGCGAGTCGCCTGGTGGAACCACACACACACACACACACGATCAGCGCTGGCTCACGCACACGCACACGCACACGCACACGCACACGCACACGCACACGCACACGCACACGCACACGCACAAGCTGATAGACGTACACGTCTTTCTTTGTGCGAAGCTTGTCCTGACGGGGCCGCGACATCTCCTGTTGGCGTCGCTGCATGTCGGCCTGTGCGGTGCGAAGAGCGTGGAAGTCGGCGTCGGCGGTGGCGTCATAGCCCTCCACCTCGGGGCAAACCTCTCTGATGATTTCCTCGATCCGCACCACCAGCTCTCGGCACGAAGGCCGTTGGTCTGAATTGAGTAGCACACCATTAATAATAATAATAATAATAACTTAATAAATAATACTCATAACCATAAATACTGACAAAGAAAATTAATAAATAATACTAATAAGAATAAAACAACGTGGTACGTACCGGGGTGCTGAGCCCAGCAGTCCTCGATCAGTTGGCGGTAGGCGGGGATGCAGGAGTCTGGTATGGGCGGACGCTGCCCGGCTTTCACCTGTATTCCGACGAACCAGGACATGACGGACGTCAGCCATGTGCGCCCGCCGCCGCGGAGTGGTGACACAGCTTGAGGGACAGAGGGCCAAGGGGCAACGAACCATGTCTTCGAGTACGGAGAAGAAGCGGACTTCGCCGAAGAAGGGCTGTTTGGTGAGGAGCTCCCACAAAATGACGCCGATGCTGTAGAGATCGGCCTTCTCCGAGTAGGCTTTGCCTTCCAGAATCTCGGGAGCAAGCCACACTGACATGTCCCCGCACCGAGAAACGAACGAGCCGGCGTGAGAAATCGCATCACCACGGCGATTAGGGAGGCGTGTGTGCGTGTTGTGTGTACCGGGACAGTCCACTTTGCGTGCTGCAGTGGAGTCGGCTGAGAGCGACAGCCCAAAGTCGCACAGTTTGGCAACTACGGCCGCGTCGGGCGAAATGTTCGCCAGCTGCGCGTTTCATAGTGTCGTGGTGACAGCGGTCAGTCGGCCGCGCGTTCGAAGCGTCGTGAAAGGCGAGTTTGGCGCGTACCAGGATGTTGGGGCTTTTGAGGTCGCGATGCATCACAGGCGGCGACGTGTTGTGCAGGAATGCGCATCCCTTGGCTAAGAAGAAGAAGAAGAAATCACCGCGAATTGGGAATGGTAAGGTCCCTGAACAACAGTGCCATGCGGGGACGAACGTGGGTGACGACGGTACGCACCGATGTCTTTGGCGATCTTGAGCCGCAGCGGCCAGTCGAGAGCCGAACTACGGTCCGGGTCGGAGAGGAAGTCGAAGAGCGAGCCGCCTTCGACCAACTCGGTGACGATGCAGAGCGGCTGCAGGCAGAAGCCCCGCAGCCGCACCAGGTTCGGGTGCGACAGGCCGCTCATGATCCACACCTCGTGGCGGAACTCCTCGAACGTGAGCCGCCGGGCCTCGTCGTCCACACTGACCCCGGCCGCCAGGTCGAACTCGCTCACCGTCGAGCCCTTCAGCTCCTTGATCGCCACCGCCGCGCCCAGATACGTGCCCCGATACACCGACGCGTAGCCGCCTATGGTACGCGACAGAGGAATGACAAGAATGTTAGCGATAGGTCCAGTCTGTGCGACGAGTGGCGTGTGCAGCTCAGGGCGAGCGCGCGCGGGGAGAGTTTACCTTCGGCCATGGGCTTATTGTCGCCGTCGGACTTGATGAGGTCGGCCCAGTCGATCCGGTGCCGGTCCAGGTGCACCATGGCCAAGTCGGGGGCGATGTGGTCCAAGCGCACCGGCTTCGGATCTCCACCGCTCGTTTCTGGTGGGGGTGGTGGTGGGTGGTGGGTGTTAGCTGTGCGGCCCTCAGGGCAAGCAGGCGAGGAGTGCAGTGCGTGCCATTGGGACAGAAGAGGATCGACTCGTTGGGCGAGGTGGCCGCCTGTTGGCACTTTTCGATGGCGAACATGAAGGGCGCGGCCTTCAAGTCCAGCGTCATGCAGTGCGAGCACGGCACCAACACCTTGGCCTGCACGAAGGGCGAAGGGGAAGGGGTGAGCCTTGAGGAGTAGTTGTGGGGCAAGGCTAAGGAATGTGGAGAACGTACGTTGAGGTTGTACCACTCCTTCACCAGAGAGTCGACGGCTGCAAAGACGAGCCACGACAGGTTGGACATCTGCTCGCCCCGGAGCTCGGTCCGCACCGTGATGTTGAGCATCAACTCATCGGGCGAGATCTCCACCAGGATCTTCTCCCTGAGATAGATTGGAGCCGGCGCTCGCTTAGCAATCAAGCACACCCGACCATCATCATCATCAACAGCGGCCTAACGCCTAAGGGGATGTAAGTACCTCCCGATGCTGGCCAAAAGGCCGGTGAGCCAGCAGATCTGCACCGTCAGAGGGAACGCGAGAAGGCGGATGATCAACCTGCCCATGAATCCCTACAGCAGCAGCAACCACAGTCACCGCTGACTCTCAGTGTCCTTCCACTTCAAGGTCGCTCGCATCAGCCGCGGCGCGCGTACCTTGGGAATGAACTCGAACCGATAGCACCGCCCGAAGATCGTTTCGCCCGCAACTGCAGCACACATTATTATTTTTATTATTGCGTCGACGGATTGTGGGCGAGTGGGGGGGGGCTGGGGTACCGTGGTTGGGCGGCCACACGTAGGGGACGAGGGCCGGGCGGGCTTCGGGCAGGAGAGAGGGAATGAGGTAGAGCTCCTCCTCCGTGGCGAACGAGGAGAGCGATGTCGGCGCGGAGGGGCCGCCCGCGGACGGACGGAGCCACGTGAGGGCGTGGTCGCCCAGCTTGTCGATGTGGGCTCCGACGGGGAACGAGAGCTCGAAGCGCTCCAGCAGCGAGAGCAGGAACCCGTGCACTTCGGGCGGAAACATCGGCGCCTTCCAGATGTGCGCCAACGCCGAATGTGCCACCACACCGTTCCTTCGGCCGAAAAGAAAAGACAAGTCAACATCAATCAATGAATCTATCAATTAATACATTAGTGAGGGGGAGGGGCGGTAGACAAAGGCGTACTTGCAGTAGCTGTGCTTGGTGGAGAAGATTGTGGACATAACCTTCATCAGCCATTGCGGGTCGAGAATAACCACGTCCTTCAACTGTGTGTCCGTCAAACACAGTAGCCAACCATCATCAGCGCATGGCTGCAGCTTCCTCACCGCGGAGGGTGCTACGCGTACCTTCTCGTCGTTGGGAAAGTGAACGATCGAGCCGAGGTTGTGGAGGAGCGATGTGGCGGCGCGGAGGTCGTGCTCCTGCTCGACGAGGCACAGGCGGGCCAGCGATTCGTATTCGCTCCAGGGCAGGATGGGCGGCATGCGCTCCTTGGGCATGCCGACGAGGATCTTCTCCAGCTCCAGGTAGTTGGTCGGCAGGGCCTGGCCGATGTGCTCCTGCTTGGCCACCAGGTCCTTGAGTTCGGCCAGCAGCTGCTCGATCCCCTGGCCCGTGGCGCAGCTCACGAAGTGGATACCCACCACATTCGGGAATCGCTGGCAAAACCGCTTGTTCAGCCTGATAGAGCAAGCACACGCACAGATTCGCCGCGAGGGCCACGAGAAATGATGAGAAAATGGTAGTCATGGCCGATGAGGGTTGCGGACGTGCGTACCGCATGCGCATCTGGGAAAGGAATTCTTCGGTGCACGTCGTGTTCTCGACGTGGGTGCCGATGATGAGCACCGGCGAGCTGCCGGCCGCAGTGCGCACCGAGTGAAGCCTAGTGGTAAGCGGCGCACGCGCGAAGCGGCGGTAAGTTAACGCTACACGCCCACCGCCCACCAAATGCTGTGTGTCGTGTCGTGTCGGTACGTACCAATATTCGATGTTCGATTGGTTGGGCGCGACCAGGTTGAACACGGCGAGGTACATGGACCGCTCGGAGAGGAAGAAGCGGTGCGTGGAGTAGTAGATCTCTTGGCCTGGTGCGTACCCGACCAGCCCAAAGGTGGTCAGACCACACACGTTCGAACATCAATGCAACGTGCTTTCAATGCTGGCGTACCGGCAAAGTCCCAGGCCGATAGTTCGACGCGAGGGCTGTTGGGACCCCAGCTCGGTATCGTCATCATCCACTTGTTGATGTCGATTCCGTCGGTCGACAGGGGCACGACAGCTGGTCGCACCACAGGCACAAACAAAACGTAAATGAGCTGATCAGGAGATGAAGGTGGTTGGCGAGGATTGGGCTTACGGGTGTCATCAACGGCGGGGCGGCCCAGGCGTAGAATCTTGCCACTGGTCCGCTTCTCCCGCCTCTTGAGCGCTTGAAGGAGAGACGTTTTCCTGAATGGAAGGGAGTCGTTAAAACACCAGAAACGCACGCACACGCACGACACACGCGGCACACGAGGCCAAGTTGGCGTAGAGGAACACGTACCCCACGTTCTCCTGGCCCACGAACATGATCTTGATGCGGTGACACGGCTTCTGCCCGTGGAGCAGCTGATTGAGATAGGCCAGGATGCTCTGCGCGCCCATGCAGGCAATCTCCTGCGGCGGACACCTGAACAACCACCACGCACACAACAGTTAGTTGGCCGCTCTGTCAGAGTTCACGACCCGCTCTACGTACCGAATGCAGCCGTTTTGCGAGCCCACGCTCAGCTTCTCGAGTGGCAAGGTGCTCAGCTGGGCCGGCAGGGCGACCAGCATGTTGTCTTCGACGTTGAGCGCCGTGAGCTGCACGAGGCCGGCCATCTCCAGTGGCAGCGAAGTCAGCCGATTGCGGTTCAGGTCGAGCTCGCGCAGCGTCGACAGCCGACCGATCTCGGCGCCCAACGACGCAAGGTCATTGCCGCCGAGCAACAGGCGCTCCAGCTGGGTCAGCGTGACCAGGCCCGCGGCGGGGAGATCCGTGAGCCCGTTGTCGGAGAAGTCCAGGCTCTTGAGCTGCGACAGCCGACCGACCTCGGTCACAAGCGATGTCATCGATGGCAGCGACTTGCACGGCGCGCTTGTCGCACAGATTCCCCTGCGCGGCGTAAAAGAGAACGTGAGGCGCGGCCTCTTCACACAAACCATGTAAGGAGGCGCGGCGCGGCAAGACGCACCGAGCGTGGAGTTCGTGGAGGGAGGTGAGGGACCACAGGCCGCTGGGCAAGCCGTTGAGGTCGGGGTTGTCGGAGAGGTTGAGCACGCGCAGCCGGGCGAGCTGCTCGATGTCGGGCGGGAGGCTGACCAGCGCGCAGCCGGCGAGGTCCAGCTCCTCGAGGAGCGTGAGCTCGCTGAAGAGTCGCGGCGGCAATGCGTGGCCGAAGCCGTTACCCGCCAGGTCGAGGCGGCGCAGCTGCGTGAGCCTGGCCAGGCGCGAGGGCACGGCCTGCAGCGCGTTGTGGGACACGTCGAGGTGGGTCAGGCACCGCATCTTGCGGAAGGGCAGGGCCGACAGGCTCTGGATTCGGTTGTGCGCGAGACCGAGGTGCGTGAGGCGAGTGAGCCGGGGCAGCGCGTCCACCAGCCGCGACGGCACGCAGGTCAGCAGGTTGTGCGAGAGGTCGAGCCGCTCGAGCGACGATGCGAGGGCCGAGGCGCCGATGTCGGGCACGAGGCTGAGAAAGTTGTGCGAGAGCTCGAGCGCAGTGACGTTGGCGAAGCAGGCCTCGAGCACGAGCGGAGGCACGGAGGCCAGGCCGCGGTGCGACAGGCTGAGCGTGGACGCCTGCGATTCGGCTGTGGAGAGCTCCTGAAGCTCGGCCAGCGCCTGCTCGAAGGGCGTCAAGCAAGCCCAACGCAAATAGTAGCCTATGTGGTGGTGGAGGGAGATGAGAATCAGAGTTAGCCCCGCTCGAGTGGTGGTGGCGGGGGCGCATCTCTCTGCGACGTACCGGTCCAGAGCTTGACGCAGCCGGGCTGCGGGAGCAAGGAACTCCGTGCGCCAGGGTCGTGTCGGTCGTAGAGGGAATGTCCGAACTGCCACGAGAAGGCGTCGACGTAGGACCACACCGAGATGGTCTGTGTTGTGAGCTGCAGCTTGCCTATGATTGGTCGGCCCACCAGCCAACAGGAAGAAGGAGAGGTTAAACCCAACAAACACCACACACAACACAACACACACAACACACACACAACACACAACACACCACACACACACGTGAAAGAGAAGAGTTGGTTTGGAAGGGAGATGTACCTTCCATGCGTTCTCGCTGGCTGTCGGCGAGGAAGGAGCCGAAGCGGGCGCTGTATACGGATTCGAGGAGAAAGAGAAGTAGCGAGCAGTCGAACTCGAACACCGCGGGCGCCATGTCCCACAATTGCCAAACTGTGAAACCCATTCAAAGGTGGTTAGACGCCGCGCGAGCCGAGAGAGGAGGAGGGAAGTCGCGGGCGTACCAGCGTCGATGAACTGCACAAACATGTGCGAGTAGTGCTTCGGCTTGTGTTTTTCTCTGTGCTGCTGCCCCCACGAATGTGCTGTTGATTGATTGATATGATCAGCAAGTGCATCAGGACCACCCACCAGAAATCGTCGTAGTTGAAGTCGTACCACACGCCATCCACTCTTTCTCGACCAGCAAGCAAAAGCCGGCAATCGTGCGGTAGTACGGGTCCAAGCACAACTGAGAGCAGCCACATGAGAGGAAGTGTGTGAGGTGCATGCGCTCCCAAGGGTCGATAGAACGGTTTGATAGTACCTGAACAAGGCTCGTCACCTGCGGCACGGCGTCGCCTATATCAGCGCTGCGAACAAGGACGGGGTCACCTTTGCGTATGAGCTCAACGATGTCGAGGGTGATCTGAAGAAGCATTTGCACGCCCGAGAGCCACTGCGTGTCGTGGAGCGATTCCACCCACGCCGCCCGCATCTTACTGGCCTCACCAGCGCTGTCGCTCGCCCGCCCGGCGGTGCTGATCAGGCCGATCACATCGAGAGAGCTGACCAGGTGAGCCAGCTTCAACAGGCCCTGCTCCACCATGGCCGTAGGCAGGAGCTTGGCCGTACAAAAGGAGATCACACCGCTCGCTGCTCGACATACGAATTCCAAGTAAGTGAACCATGGTGCGTGTGTGCGTGCGTGTGTGTGTGTGTGGGGGGGGGTGGGTGGGTGACAGTCAGGCGCACGGCACAAGTACCTGTTTTGACGGTCTCTACTGCGCCGATGCCAGTACCGGACACGGAGCTCTTTTGAATGTTGTAGACATGCAGCGCTTGGGCTTGTGGGTAGAGCTTCAGGATGTGCTCGAGCAGGGCGTGCTGGTTCATGTCATCGCTGTCGGTCGTGTGCTTGCTGGCGGCGGCGGCGGCGGCGGTCTCGGCCTCGAGCGCACGCTTGGCGGCCTTCTCGGCGTCCAGGCCGGACATGAGGTCCCTGAAAGACGGCGATACCGGCGGCGACGTGGCTGTGCGGCTCCCCTGGTTCGTAGTCCTGGCCGCGCGCAGGAGGCAGCCACGGGGCGCCGACCCCGGCCTCGTGCGGTCCCAGCAAAGCGCAATGACCCAACGCGGCGCCTTGTACGACCCGTCGCCCGCCTGCCCCACCAGCATCTCTACAGTGTGTATGATTTGGCAAAATGTGAGGAATGCAGCGCGTGAGGCGGTGAATGAAAGGAATGTGGGTGCTGGGGGGGGAGGGAGTAACCATCGGAGACTGAGGCGGGGACGACGAATCGACTGGGCAGGTGTGGATGGGCCTTGTAGTCGCCCTCGTTGGCCTGTGTGATGCGCCACTTGCTGCTGTCCAATCGCTGCCGCTCGAACTCCTGGTCGATCTGGTACAGCGGCCACCCGTGCAGCTCTGACCGCAACGAGTACTTCTCCTTGTTGTGAAAGGCGTAGAGGTCCCTGCACGTCACCATGGTGAGACCACCCGTGTTCGTGTGACTGTAAGGAAGAGGCAGCACCTGAGCTTGGACGGGAAGAGGTGGCGCTTGAAGAGCAGATTCATGGCGTCCAGCGCTTCGGTGGAGAGGAAGAAGATGGAGATGACGCGAAAGTCCTTGCACACGAGCAGATAGCCCGGAAGGCCTCGCTTCACGTGTGTCGCATTCTCGACTCGCGCCAACAGCCCAAACGGCACCGACTCGCTTTGTTGCTATACGTGGGACACGGCGCGAATCATCGTCAGCATCGAGCAGAACCACAACTCTGATGCAGGGAGACGCGGCTAGCTGATGGTTGGTGTACGGTACCTCGATGGTGAGGATGAAGCGGTAGGGGGTCATCTGCAGTTGGCCCTGTCGACCATCGGTCAACGCGTGATGCGAGATGATGACCACGTCTTGCTTCGCCAGCACACGCTCGCCCGTCATCAATCGCCGCTGTTGCTGCTGGCCGTCCAGGCGATCGCCCTTGCCAGGACTCGTGTTTTCCCCCGTGGTCGCTGCAGCTCCTGGTTACCAGCGTCAGTCTCCTGAATCAACCGCATAGGCTTGTCGTGTGTGTCGTGTGCGTCGTGCGTCGTGTGTGTCGTGTGTGTTTGGTACCGCTGGTTGGTTCACCACGGGCTGAGTTGAGTGCGTTGACCCATCGCTGGGCGTCGTTCTTGGACTGAGCGGCGAGGGAATAGGTGCGGCCGCCCACGGTCTCCACCTCGAACACGGCCTTACCACTGCCGGGCCTCATCACCAGCCGCCGCACCTGCGCCAGGTCAATCACACCCTTGGGCGTTCCATCTTCTCCAAAGCGCGACCCCCGAGAAAGTGGGTTCGTGGTGAGTGCCATGGAAACACAAAAAGCACACTTGTGCCAAGTCACACCACTAGATCGCAACCACAACATGTCCCCGACACTGGGAAAGGGGAAGAGGGGAAGAAAAAGAAGGGGGGGGGTGTTTGAACCTCCTTTGCGCTTGTAGTAGGCGAGGGTGGTGGCGGAGGGCGATGAGGATGAGAGGACGAAGTAGCGGGTCTGCCATCTCTTGACCAGCACCTTGCTGGGCGAGTGCTTCTGCAGGGTACCCTCGGCCAGCACTACCCCCTCCTTCGCAATACACCCGACAAAGAAATATTAAAAAGTAAAAATAGGGATAATAAACACAACCAGAGACAAATATTAGCTTGGCGATAAAAAATAAGTGAGAACGAGAAGCGGGGGGGGGTAGAGATAGTGGCTTCACGAAGTATTACCGCAAGGTGGGTGGCCATCTATCTTGTGCGGTTTTGACACGACACTTGAGCGGAGACCCGGAACTTGCGCGAACAACAGTGTTGAGACCACACCAGCGTATACAGAAAGGTCGACCGCCGGAAGACGCCGAGACATGCACAACAGGACCCCGCTATTGGGGATTGGCAGGCCCGTATCTGGAACCCGCCCGATAGGCCAATGCGCATAGAATACACCCACCCTCCACACTGTGAGGTGGCGCTCGCGGTGCCCAGGTGAGGTGGTGAAAGAGAACGAACCAGCAGCGGTACTGTATAAACCGGCAGCCACGCACGCGGATCACTGAGGTGAAGCCGCGACAGCTTTGGCAACAACCGGAAGATTTTTGACTCCTAATATTGAAGTGAAGAGCACACGCGCCAGCATTCCACACTATGGACATCTGCCACAATTTTCGTGAATAATAAAATATTCTTACCATTCATTTATCAAGCTAAGAAGATGGCGCTTGCGGAGGTGTTCTACGCGGGGGTGCTCCTGTGGACTGTGGCGGTGTGGGTCGGCATGCTATTGTGCCCCCACCACCCGACCCTTCATCGCCTGCTGCGGACGCCCCACCTCGTCATTGCGCCCCATCTTATCCTCTACCTGGTCCTCGTGCTCCCTCCGCTCTTTCAAGGTCGTTCGCTCCTCTGCACCTCCAACTTCGCTCTTTCATTTCTGTCGCTTTCGTCCCCCCCCCAATTTTCCCTTTTTCGAAGCTAAGCGAAGAACAGGGGAGGTGTCGGTATGGAAGGCGCAGGGCTCGCGGCACCACAGCGGCCTAGTGGGCGGCCTGGAGCGGGTGGTGGTGGGCTTTGCTGAGGGTCTGGTGGGTCCGTCGCGCGAGGTCGCGCTGGCCGCGCTCAACCTGTTCGTTGGCCGATCGCTCTTCCTCGAGTCGCGCCAGCGGCTCCATCGCGCCCTCCTCTCCGCCGTCGTCGTCGCCACCATGTTGGCCGCTCCTCTCGGCCTGGCCCTGCACTGGGTCATCCTCATCATCCACACCAGTTGGACACAAAAGTAACACTGTGTCACAATAGCGGAAATAAATCAAATAAAAAAACTAATATAAGAGAATGTAGTAGCAAACGAGAGTGTCGCGCGGGAGGAGAGTTCTTTACATCTACAGGGTATGTACAAAAGTGCTGAGTGTGGAGTGGTTGGAAAATTGATGTGCGTGGGTTCAACTCTGGGCGACGGCGGATGGCGCGGAGGAGAGGAGATGGTGGTGGCTGTTGTGGTGGGCAGCGGCCATGTGGATGCTGGAGGACTGGCGCATGAAGGGCGGCGGAATGTGGGGCGAGGGCAGGACGGGCATGCCTGCCGGAGGCGTGCCGTGGGGCGAGATGGAGGATATGGAAGTGGACGTCGATGGCGACACCGCCGCGGCCGAGAGAGTCGACATCACCACCGTCTGCGCCTGCGGCAGGGCCGAGTGGCTGCTGCTGAGGTCCGCCGCGACGAAGCTGCCGCGTCGCACCGGCGGCTGCATGTAGTACGAGGCCGAGGTCTGGGGCTGCAGGTGGTGCTGCGGGACCGCAGCGGCGGCGGCTGGGACCTCGACGAACGGGTTGTAGCTTCCGCTGAGCGTCGCTCCGGGTGCGTGGTGGTGCGACCCCACAACGCTGTAGGACTGCTGACGAAGGAGCACCTGCTGCTGTTGGTGCTGGTGCTGCTGCATGATCTGGAGCTGCTGCTGGGGTTGGTAGTAGGCCGGGACGGAAGACATGGACAGTGCGGGCGCCGATGGTCCAAAGCCGCTTGGCCGCTGCGGTGAGTGCTGGAGCTCGTGCACTCGCCGTTCGATGTCGCGCATCATCCGCGCCTCTTCGCTGTCTTCGTCGCTGATCTGATCCTGCTCCTCTTGAATGTCGAGCACCTTCTCCCTCTTCTCCTCGCCGTTCACGAGGACCATCGTGCGCTTCCTCCTCTTGTCCTCCGCCAGATCGTCAAAGTCCAGCGACGTCATCCCAGGCCTCAGTTCACTCTCTTCCTTCTCCTTCCCAGGCTCCTGCATTCATCAAACATCATCATTTCCACACCTGTCAGTTGCGTCATCTTTCGCGAACCACCGGTCGTTCAACTGGACTTACCTGCTGTAGGGAGCGGAGGGGCTGCACGATGTCGGAGACCTCCTGTTTCTGCACGCGGGTGATGGCGGCCATCCAGCTCTTGCGGGCGCCCTCGGTGTCGGCGCAGAAATAGGAGGGCGGCTGCCGATCGCAGTCGTCGGGCATCAGCACGAACGCGTATCGGCGGACGTCGTCCCGCTTCTCGGTCGTCACCATCGCCAGCACGTCGATCCTGCTCCTCACCGACGTCTGCTTCTTCCCAGCGGCCTGCATCACATCGCATAGTCAGCCGATCCGTTGCTCATCATCATCGTCACCATCAACATCATCATACAGCGTGGCTAGGGGGGAATCCGTACGGGCGGCTTGTCGTGGGTGAGGAGGAAGGTGCCGGCGTGGCAGCGGAAGAGGCGGACCCACCGCTTGCGCCACTTGCTCACCCGGCGCGTGTGGGTGCTGCCCACCCGCTTGAGCAGCGCCTCCTCCAGGAACCCCTCCATCACGCACTCCGAACTGCCGCTGCGGCTCCGCGTCGTCGCGGCACCCCTCGTGCTCGGTGGCGCCTTGACGGTGGTATCGAACCCGGACGACGAATGCGCATTCTTCTCCTTGCTCGGGCTGTGCTTGGTGGTCGCCGGCGCGGGCGCGGGAACGGCGGGGTCGGAGCTGGCGGCCGACGGGGCGATGATGGAGGACTTGGGGCGCGACCGGACGGAGGAGAGGTCGAGCAGTTCGGGCGACGAGGCGAACTGGGGCATGCTGCCCCGCGACGCGCGGCTGCCGAGGTGGGAGGAGGGCGAGGAGGCCATGAGCGGTACGGCCGGCCTGGTCGCCGGCGATCTGGAAGACGAAGAAGAAGACGAAGAAGAGGCATTGTCGCCATCTTGGTCGAAAGCAGATTGATGGGAGAACTCGCGGGTGCTGAGGCCGACGCAAGTGCTGCCGCTGATGATGGTGGTGGGGCGGCTCTTGGTCTGGGACAGAGCGGAGGAGGACGAGGAGGCGGGGATCTTTGGTTTGGCCTTGCCCTTCTTGTCTTTCTTCTGCTGCTTGCTGCTCTTCACCGGCTTCTTTTTCTCCTTTTCCTTCTTCTTTGTGTCGTTGGTGGCGTCACTGCCCTTCTCCTTCCTTTGCTTCTTCTTGGGCGTCTTTGGCGCGTGCTTGATGTCATCGCCGTTGCGTGGGCTGTCGAGGGAGAGGTCGTCCATAGCGAGCTGATGGGGTTCTGATGGTTGAAGGAGACGAAGGAGAAAAACTGAAGGAGTGGACTGGTGCGGTGGGACGAAAGCGACAGCCAGGGATCGGTGGTGATGGTGATGGTGAAGGCAGAAGTCGGCACTTGTCGCAAGCTTGGTTGATGGTGTGGATTGTGCAGAAAGACCGCCGTGCGGAAGGGTGCGTGCGTCGCGGGGAGTAGAACACGGGAGAGTGGAAGCGAGAAAGAGGGCAAGTGAGCAGAGAAGAGAAGGAAAGAGCCGGCGAAGTGACCAGAACAAGGCGACCCCTGTACCGCGTCTTGCTCGACCAACGCTAAGAGTCTGGCGAAAAGTCGTCAAAACAAACCAATCCCGCAATACGCCACAATTTTCTCACCTCTGCTTGTCGAAATTAGGGAACTGAGTATTATTTAAATAAATAACTGGCACAGAATAAATAGTAATAATAGGTAACAATAGGTATTATCACATTGGTTCAAATATTTGTTTATGTTGTGTGACAAGGAGGTGATAAATACAAAGTTGAGTCGCTTGAGTCTTCGCAGTGTAGAGGGTTACACTCACAAAATTAAAGAAGACGAGACGGACCGAAGAGAAAGAGGAGAGGCCAGGGTGAATGTCGTCAGCCTGGCCCGCAAAATCGTGGTGCTGCGCGCGGCTCGCCGTGGCGATGGTCGTCTGTCGTCAGCCGGACGACACAGCGGTGTTCGTACACATGGCAGGATGGCTGCCACTAGCAAAGACGCGCCTCCTCGCAGACGAACGAGGGTGTGGCGTACTTGAGCACGACCACCATGGCCGACGCGCCGTATTGCTGGATCAACGTTTTGCACTGTGGCGCAGCAAGGTCAAGAGATGGTCAAGTTCCACGAGCCAGTTGGCGGGAACGAACGCGAAGAAGTGAAGGCGTACGGGCTGTTGCTCGGCCAGGGGCAGATAGACGCAAGCCTCGGCGCACTCCTGGAGGAACTGCTTTTCAGTTGCTTCGTTGGCCAACAGACCTTGCAGGGTAGACACCACGAACTCGCAAATCACACACCTGAAGAGACCCATGCATTAGCATAACGACGCAATGGGATGAGCAGCCAGCAGTGGGCTAAGAAGAGACGAACTTGTCGGAGGCGGGAGTGGGCTTGACGGCAGAAGGAGTGGGGGATGGCGAAGCTGTGGAGTTGCAGAGGTTGATGTCCTGCGGAAGGTACAAGGCACAAGAGAAGTCTCGCGTTAGTTGGTCCAACATCCACGCTCGCACAAAGTGATTTGGCCATTGCCTACCTGGCACAACAGCTTGGGTCCCATTTCCTCGATGAGGAAATTAATCAGCACTGGCGTTCCGATCTGTACCATCTCTTCGCACTGCGCGTTTGAAAAAGTACGAATGAGAAAAGGCAAGGCCAGGCGGCCCTCTTCTCAGACGACATACCTGGGTTTGCATTTCCTGCGGCAGGTACCCGCAAATCGTCTCCACATAGGCGATGATAGCCGCCTGCAGTAATGTGAGAAGAACCTGTGGGGGTGGGGGGTTCGAAAATTCAATGGAGAGATGGTGTACCTGAGTATTGTTGAGTGAGGCCAATTTGGCGATGGCAGTCAACACAGAGACGCAAAGATCACATTTGTCGGACAGCAACGCAGGCATGATTTGTGGCTGCACCGATTGGGGCGGTTGTAGAGGGATGTGGGGCACCGCGAGTCGTGCCTGCGCTGAGCCAATACTGCACATGCCAAGGATGGCAAGCAGCGCGAAGGCCACCAATCTTTTCATGTTCTTGCGCCACCAATCTTTCTTTCGTATCTTGAATTGCCAACGATGGATAACGAGCTTTCCTACTCCCGAAAAACACCATTAATATTCGGAATTTAAGGAATGTCAATTAATAACGTTCGGGGTGCTGCCTCCGCCTTGGCCCACTCCTCGACAAAGGATCGCTTCTCGTTCTCGAACTCGGTGTGCAGATCGGTCTTTTGTCGCTTAATCTTCTGGAGGTGCTCATCTTGCACGCGTTGTTGGCCCTCGAGCTCATCAAGCTGCACCACTAGATCGTAGCATCGTTTCTTTCGCTTGGCCAGTTCTGCGTCCTGCATCCTTCCTTCCTTGGCACCTTCGATATGTTCGTCTCTTCCTCGAACGAGGAGGGGTGGGGAGTTTTCTCCGTACAATTTATATGCTGTAAAACGGACACCACACTGGACAAAAAAAAAAAAAATATAAAAGAGCCCAGAGGTGAGGGCTCACTCACTGTTGTTCCTCTTCTTTCTTGGCGTACAGCTTCTTTTCTGGGAGGGGTCGCAAGTGCCCAAACCTACGCCAGGGATCCAGCGAGAGTCAGCGATCAGTTATGCTCAGCGCTGAAGTCGTTGTTGTGGCCGTACCGCGTGCCGAGGTAAAGGCGGACAGGAAGGGGAACGTCGAGGCGGATCGGGAGGCCGCTTTCCATGCACCGCACCATCAGATCCTCCATCCACTGCACTCTATCCTCCCGCACCTGCGACCGCAACGCGACGCGGTCATGAATGCCCCGCTTTCGTGTCGCTAGGGAACGGGAAGCGCGTACCTCATAGACCAGTTCGTCGTGCACTTGCAACGCCAGGGCTGCAATCGGACGGCTTGACTCGCCCAGCTGCTGCTCAACGTCATCCGCTTTCTCCTTCCCTTTTGTCGAACCTCTCGCCACAGCCTGTGGGTGTTCCCCGCCGTCAGCTCGACTCACCGGGGGAAAAATTGAATTTGGCGCGAGAAGGTGCGTACCGCATCAACCAGCTCGCGCTGCTCTTCGGCAACGAGCGCGCGGTCGATGGAGAGCATGGCGAGCTTGACCAAATCGGCAGCCGTGCCCTGGATCACTGAGTTCACCGCCTGTCGCTCGGCTTTGTGGGCGTAAGCCTCGAAATTGATCGTCGGGAACAGCCTGGACAGCACGCAAGGTTGTCTCGCGGTTAGCCGCGGCTTGCTCAAGTATGTGAAACACGCAGGAGGGCAGCACCTGCGCCGGTTGAGGAGGGTTCGGATGAAGCCGTTCTCGTGCGCAGACTCAGCGGTGTCCTTGAGGAATTGAGCCGTCTTGGGGAACTTCTCCAGGAACGTGCTGATCCACTGCTCGGCCTCGGTGTGGTCCACTGTGTGTGTGTGTGTGGTCATCATGCACCCCACCTGCGTTAAGCCCACATGTGCACATAGTGCGGCAGCCGCTGCAACTCGGTGTACCGTTGAGAATCTCGGACAGGGTTCGTGCGCCCATGCCGTAGAGGATGCCGTACACGATCCGCTTAGCTCTATCACGCTCGACTTCATCCACCGCATCGGGATCCTTGCCTGTGCCGGCCACATCAGCAACAGCGGCAGTGCGCGTGTGCGTGTGCGCCAGTGAAGCGTACCGAGCCAGCGGGCGGCAATGAGTTTGTGAATGTCACGGCCCTCGTGGAAGAACTGCATGAGGAACTCGTCCGAGCTCACGTGGGCCAGAATGCGCATCTCCATTTGGCTGTAGTCGGCCTTGAGCAGCACATAACTATGGACGCGGGCCAAATGAGTTGAACCCTTATATATGCAGCCAAATGCGTCGCGACGTGAGCACGTGGGGGGGTGGGGGTACCCGGGAGGCGCAACGAAGGCGTCGCGCACGTTGATCACGATCCTTTCCTGCAGGCTGGGGTCATCAGGCTGAGGCTGCTCGCCAGTAGCCTCGACACTGTGAACTTCGCTCAACGGCTGCAGCACGATCGGGGCGCGAGGCAAAGCTTGCAGATTCTGGGCGCCACATAACATTGCGTATCAGCAGAGCAAGTCCGCAAGAAGCCGGGCAGATGCATCTGGGCAAGTACTTACCGGTTCGGTGACGGACAACCGCCCCGTGGCGGTTCCCGTGTGCTGCCACGACGCGTAGATGCGGTGTGTGCCCTGCACGACACCTAAAGTCACCCCCACGCCTATTTGTTGTGTGGAACCAAAAGGTGAAGCCTGGTCGTCTACCTCTTCGGGTACCGTGATGGCTTTCTTCGAAAAGGAGAGAATGTACGTCGTGATCAGCTTTTGGCAATGTCGATACTCTGCATGAACGTTGGTGTGATGTGTGGTGTGTTAGCCAGGCCATACGGTGTGAGCTAATCTTCGACCTGATGCTGGTAGGGGAAAGGGCACCCAGGATGAGGGCCGGGAGCGGATGGTGCTCCTTGAGTGCGAGCAGGACCTTCTCCGATGTTGAGTGCTGCTCGGTGAGCTGCTTCCGCGAGCGGCGAGGAGTCGGGAGCTTGAGCTCCTCGAACAGCACATGAGCCACCTGAGAGCAAAGTGAACCCGGGGGAGGGGGCATTCTTAAAGTTGTCGAGAGCACAAGCCACGCGAGACTATTCGTACCTCCTTCGGGCTAGAGAGGCAAACCGAGTGGCCCACCAACCGCCGTGCGTGCTCCTCGATGCTTCGTAGTCGGTGCTGGATGGCTTGCTGGTGTTCTGTAAGGCTGGCCGAATCGAAACACACTCCACGCAGCTCCAGCTCTGTGTAATGATACGGGCGTTAGTCAGATATAACAGTCAGCCGCTGCGTGTGAAGAGGTATGGTGCGGGCGAGATTATGAGTACTCGCGATGATGGTGGCAAGCGGCATCTCCTGATCGCGGAACACACGGTACAGGTCCTCTTTCTCCAGTCGCGCCTCCAGGTTGGTCATCAACCGGAAGCACGTTAACATGTCTGCTCGGACCGTCAACATGACGAAACAGTGGCGTTAGCAGCATGCAGATTGCTCGTGGGGCTTGTGCGTACCAGGAAAGAAGCGCTTGATGTTGGCTGAGTCTTTGGGCGAAGTGCTGGGTTTCTTGGGGCTCTGGTCCACGCTGAAGCTCGTGGCGAGGAACGGAAAGTCGTAGCTCTTCATCTCCGGGTCGAACACATAGGCCGCCAGCCTGGGGTCCACCAGGTTGCGCGTCGCCACTGTAGCGGAGAAGAGAGAGAGGAAAATTGAGCTCCGACACTCTGCTTCTGTTCGTGTGCAGGGCCAGACGGAGGGTGGACGTGGTACCAGCGTAGCGCGGATAGAGGGCGAGAATGGGCTTGAGACTCTCCTGCGTGTCGTAGCAAACCTTGCCGCGGATCGACTCTGACTCCACGAAACGCTTGAGCACCTCGCACCGGTCGGCAAGCGTAACTTCCTTCGTTTCCTTCACATCTTTTTGTTAATGCCGTGCGCAGAGGCAGTGCCGCCAGCGAGTTCGTCAGGAGGAGTACCGAATCGGCTTCAGCCGCTTCTTCTGCTGCGGCGGCGGCGGCAGAGTACGTGGTGATGTCGTGGATGTTGAGAGGAACAAAATAGGGGCGCTTGGCCTTCGCCGGCAGGAAGCCCACCCCGAGCACCTGCTTGTATTGGATCGGGGCGTCCTCCGATACTTTCTTGTCCTGTCCATTTTGGAGCCGTCAGCAGAGTGAGCTTCACCATGTGTTCTGAGTTCACTGCCGGAGGCAGGAAGGCGTTACCAGGATTTCGCTTCGCCTGAAGTTGGTGGTGTCGTAGCGGTAGGCGGTACCCCAGCACACCAGCTCGCTTGCCTCCAGCTCCTGCACAAAGGCATCGAAGGTGGTGCGGTCTTGCGACGCATTCACAAATCCCTGCGGAATGCTGCCTCCGGTCTTCTTGACAAACATCGAAATGTCTTCCGACCTGCGCCCGATCATGTGCATTGCATGCAATAGCGCCACCAGCAACACGTTAGTACGACATCAGCAGTGCAAGGGCAGCGGTTGAGAGGCCGATACCGAATGATGCGCGATGGTAGGGGCGTGGTTCCGGGGGCGTTCCGGCCAGGCGTCGCGCCCCGCCTCGGCGAGGGTGTGTTCTTAGTGGGCGACTCCAGCTTCAACGCTTGCGTCTTGGTGGGCGATGTGTCAGGCGTAGATGCGAGCCGGGCCTGCTGGCCCTCCTCTCCGCCCTCGAGCCCGTGCCCGCCCGACACTGCGTCGCTCGGCTCGGCTCGCCCTGCCTCTTCATCTCCTGTCGCCGCCGTCGTTGGGGTCTTGACGCCGGTGTCGATCTCGTCTTCATCGCGCATTCGCTTCTTTACCTTGTTGACGTGGTGGAAGAACTGCTGCAGCGACGGCGACGACGGGCTCGACGAGGAGGTCGTTGCGGGCGAGGCCGAGCGAGCAATCGGTGAGGGCGGCGGGGACATGCTGCCCCTCGCGCTCCTGGCGGGAACGTCCAAGCGTGACGTCGGCCTCGCGCTGGGGGTGCTGGCCCTCGAACTCGCCGTGAGGGCTTCTTCTTCTTCATCAGAGAAGCCGAGCGAAGGTAGCTCCTCTTCCTCTTCTCTTTCCGCTTCGAGTACTCGTGCGATCTCCTTCTTCCTGCGCTCCTTCTTGGTCTCTTCGTCGTCAGCGCGATGACCTTCTTCCCGCTCCCCTTCCTCCTCCTCCTCCTCCTCCTCCTCAAGCTCGTCACCGCTGCCGTCACTTGTTTTGGTCCTCTTCTTCTGGTTGTCGGATTGGAGCGTCGCATTGCCCACGGTGGCCCGTAGCTCGTCCACCTTTCGCTTGGGCTGGCGCTGCTCCATCGATGCGGTCGCGTCGGCCTCACCACCGCCGCCACCCTCTCCGCCTGGCCGGTCGCGGCGCCCATTAGTGAGGAGCTCGAAGATGAGCGACTGCCGCTTCTTCTTGGGGCCGGCCGCAGCCTCGTCAGTCTTCTGCTTCTTCGCGGACTGTTCCATTTTCGCTTTCTGGAGGCCACGTCGCAGATCAGCGGTCAGTTGGCTTTGCTATTCAACCATACCACCTGCATGGTGTACCTCTTCGGTGTGGAGGTATTCGTCGAGGCTGCGCGGCCGTCGGGCCTTCTTGGTGTCGGCCGCGCTGCTGGTGTCCAGTTGCGGGGCCTGTGCCTCTTCCTGCTCGTGCTCGGTCTGGCTCTCCTGCAGGAGCTCGAGGAAGAGACTGGAGGCGCGGCTCTTGGCCGGTGATTGCTTCGCCGCTGCGGATGGTCGCGTGTTCTGCCACCCTAGGGCCACCTTCGCCCTCTTGCTACCACCTGCACACATGAACCTCACTCTACTACCTGCGCAAAGAGAGGGGCGGGCAGCGTTGTATTATATAATACCTTGTGACTCGTGGGCGGGTTCGTCGATTTGCTCGTCGTCCTGTTGGTTGACGCTTGTGTTGCGTGCAGGCGATGGGCGAGTAGACGCGCTCTTCTCCTCCTCCTTGTCCATCTTTCTTGTTCCAAACTGGCACTTGTGTGGTTGGTGTGTTTTCTTCGCCTTTTCTTTTGGGTTACGTAACTTTTCTCTGAAATTTTGCCGACCCAGCCACCGATCAGCCCGCACTGCGCCCAGTGACGGGCTCGTGATGATGTGTTGCACTGAGTCGTACCACCATAGCAGCAACGATCGATCGTAACGGGTGGTGTTCATGTTATGCGCTGGAGGTCGCTTCAAACTGCGCGAGCTCGTTGCGTGCGCGGTGAAGTACGTTGCTGAGGATCTGCTTGCGGCCCATCCGCAGCACCAACGCGCACCGCCTCGCCCACCACCCCGTTGTCGTAGGTGCCGCTTCCGCTTCCGCTTCCTCTTCTTCTTGACCTTCGTTCTTTCGTCGCTTCTTTCGCCGCTGCTCGTCAGCGCCATCGGCGTCCACAGCTCCACCTTCGCTTTCGCTTTTCCCGATCTGCTGCTCGAGCTGCTGCATCAATAGCTGGTCATCCTCGAGGGTGGTAGGGTAGGCCGAAAGAAGCATGGTGGCCAGGTTGATGACGAACTCGATGCGCTTGCGGGCTTTGTTGAGGGCGACTTCTTCGTCGACAAGTAGCTTCTCGTGCTTGCGCTCTCGCACGAATTCGTCCTCGTCGAGCAGATAGACGCGCAGAGCCACGTCGAAGTTCCACGACAGTTCGCCACTCGGCCACGCATAGAATCTATTCACGTTCATGTGTGTGACATAGAGCGAGCAGCCCATTAGCCTGGCGCAGCCAAATGACCGATGTAGCGAGCGCAAGTTGTGTACCCAGTGAGGAGCGAGGCGTCCTGCAGGCAAGCGTCCTTCTCTTCTCGCAAGCACACGTCTGTCTCAGTCAGCCACTGCGGGCGGGCGCAAAGGACGCGGAGTGAGCCCAGATGGAGAAGAGGCCTCGGTTCAACAAAGAGAACTCGAGTCGGAGTACCTACCTGCAGAGGGTCGACAAAGTTGTAGATCTCTTCGCTGTTATCCGGGATCGCGAACCCGTACAGGTGAATGAGGGGCTCGTTGCCGTGCTTGCCGTACGAAATGAAGGCCTTGACATACATACACACAATGCCTTAGCACGACACTCTCTCACAACGCTTTGGTGGTGCATAGACGTACCTGCTGCCCTTCTTCAAAGGGTGTTTGAGTAGTGATTTCATAGCAGTCTTCTACTGCATTGTACGAGCCTACAGACTAAGACCATTGACTCGATCATTAAGCGGCAGCAACGGGGTCTGCGTGAATCGTGTGAAGTGGCCAACGTACGTCAACGTTGGCGTGGTTGAGAAAATCGGCAAATGGCACCAGTGTGTTGTGATCCTGCGGTAGATGAACAATGGTGAGACCTTCTGAAGGCTGCAGACAATGAGCACGGGATGTTGGTGGTCAACCTGAATGGAAGGTGCGATGTCAATGTAGCACGAGCGCGTGTTGATGATGGAGCTGGCCCACCAAAAGTCGCTGAGCGTGGGCTCGAACGTGCCGTAGCCTAACGAGCGCAAGTGTTCCTTGTGTGGCTGCATTGCAAGAGAATGGCCAGGAAAGCCGAGTCAGTGCCGTCTATCCAGATACAAAGAATGAGCTGTACGCTCCAGTACCTCAAGAAATCGAAGCAACGACGAGTGCAGATCACGCAGCTCCCGCTTTTGTAGATTAACCGTTTCTGTTGTTGTGGATTGAGCCATTCATCAATCAGAGGGAGTTACTTCTTATTGATGTTTGCCGAACACGTACCAATGAACTGCTCGCTCTGGCTCTCCTTCAGTTCATCGTCACTCCAAAAGAGACTCGTGGTGAAGGTCGTCGGCAACTGGCCTGCAGCCGAAACGGGTGGCGCATGTGTGAGCGTCGTCAATGCGAGGTGGTCGAGTGGTCACTCCAGGACACGGTGTAGAGAACGCAAAGGAAGGAAAAGGACGCGGTACAGATGAAGGGATACCAAAAGGAATGTCTGCCCTTGTGTCGCTCCCACAAGATGTGAAGACACAGCACCTGCTGCGGATGCAACAGAATGGATCCTGGGACGCGTCACAGGACAAGACGGTGTGAATCACAGGCTGTGAATAGCGTATGGCAGGCAGAACTGGTGAGGCGGACGGACCTCCAGACGGTGGGGCGGTGTAGGGCAGCGAGCGGACCATGCGGCCCGCCACAAGCGGTCCAATGTCGGGGCACCGCATAGCACTCCGCGTGTTCATCAGCACCCTACCCGGCACGGAGACCAGCACCTCTCCTGCCTAAGCAAGTAGTGTGGGTGAATCAATCAATCAATATAAAAATAAAATTTTAAAAAAACCCATTGAGTGTAGATTGAGTTGTACGCGGATGGGGGCGAGGGTGCGGAGGCCGCGGCCGCCCTCGTGGTCGGCGAACTGGTGGTAAGCTAACCGATTACGGCGTCCACGGTGTGGTGCCTTGGCTTCCGCCTCGGCCTGCAACCACCACCTCTCGAACTCCGTCATGCTTTCCTCCTGCCCTTCCATCTCTTGCTCACCACTGTTCCCAGGTCTTCTGTTGAACCTGCCACGTCGACAGCCCTCTTAAAAAGCCTCAACGGCATTGCGATCTACAACAAGGTAGTGTCTTCTCCCTGGCGGACCCGCTCAGAGGGCGGCCTTCTTCTTGCTGCTGGACTGGCCGCGGAGAGAGGCGGTGATGGCCTTGAGCTGTTCCTCGCTCACCATCTCGGGACGCCATAGCGTGGCTCCGCCGTCAACCACTACCGTGGTGCCGTTCACGAACGAGCCCGCCCCGCTCGCCAGATAGACCGCCATGAATGCGATATCTGTTCATCGTCTCCTTGAGTCACGCACACGCACACGCACACAACACGCTGCAGAAGAAGCGCATACCTTCAGGGTAGCCGGCCCTGCGGACGGGAATGCGCTGCCCGACCTCGTCGCCCGACATGCCCGACAGACGACTCAGTCCCTCGGTGCCCTGGATGGGACCGGGCGCGATGCCCACCGTCCTGATACCGTCGGGACCCCACTCCAGACCTTCAAGGAGACGCGTCATCTGGCGTCAGCATTGGGTTTGGCGTGGTCGTGTGGGCTCTGGGGCTGGACGCACCGAGGTTGCGAGTGAGCGCGTCGATAGCGGCCTTGGCCGACGAGGCATGCAGCTGCCACGGGGTGGCGCCGTAGTGCAGGGTGGCGCTGATGTTGATGATCACCCCGGCCTTGGTCGCCTTCAACGCCTCGTACGCCGCCCTATCCCCTCACATGTGAGTACACACTCCCCACCAACACACAGAGCAGCAGAGCGGCGCTCCTACCTGGAGGCGTTGAACGTGCCCACGAGGTCGATGTCGATGACTGCGCAGAAGGGGGAAGGAAGGAGGATGAGCCACTCACTGTGTGACGAGATCAGGGCACGACAGGGGCCGACGTGTACCGGTCTTAAAGCCGTTGGGAGTGAGATCCTTGGCGGGGCACAGGAAGTTGCCCGCGGCGTTGTTCACCAGGATGTCGAGCTGCCCGAAGCGGGCGGTGGTGGCCTGCACCACCTTGACCAGGCTCTCGTAGCTGCGCACGTCGCCCTGCAACCCGATCACACCGTCCGCTACACCACCGTTGCCACCTCTCACCGTTCAGTTCAATCGACCCGCGCGAGAAGGAGGGCCAGCACGCACCTGGCACGCCGTCGGCCTTGAGCTGGTTGACGGCCTCCTCGAGCTTGTCGGCCCTTCTTCCTGAACCAGCGCGATAGATGAGGAGAGCGGAGAGTGTGTGTTGGGGGGGGGAAGGCATACCGACGATGGCGACACGAGCTCCGTGGAGGGCGAGGGCACGGGTGATGGCAAACCCAATGCCAGTGGCCCCGCCCGTCACCAGCGCCGCTTTGCCCCGCAGCAGGTCCCTTCGGAACGGCGACACCACTGCCGCGTTGGACCACTTTCCCTCACCCACAGCACCTGCACTCGACATCTTTTACTGTTTTGTTTGTTTGTTGTCTGGTGCTCGCCAAGTTCCCACTCTTTTTTTGGACGTGCGCCGCATTCTTTGGGCTGTGTTGACGCATTCCCTTCCCTCTTCATGAAGGTTCGTGGCGGTTCAGTCAACAAGGCGCTGCCAGCCCGCGCAAACGTGTAAGAAAGAACAAGAGAGGGCTATGGGTCGGTTATTACAACTAAAAGTTAAAGAACAATAAATAATGAACAAGCCAAATGAGATGAGAAGGGCAAGCGCCAGCGTCGAGTGGTGGGAGGAAAGGCTTAGGACCGCCAGGTGAAGTAGACGATGACGACGGTGACGTTGTCCTTGGAACCCTTCTCCAGAGCCCGCTTGACCAGCGTCTGTGCCGCCCCGCCCGCTGTCTGTCCACCCTGTCGCGCCCCCGCCACCAAGTCCAACGCCTACACGCGCGTGGCCATCATCATCAACGAAACAAGCAAAGAAGAGAAGAAGGCGAGAGAGCGAGAGAGAGAGGGACGAACCTCCTGGTAGTTGACGACGTCCCATACTCCGTCGCAACCGATGATGAGGAACTCATCCTTGTCTGTCTGCAACTCCGTCGCCGACACATGCGGCTCCGCAGAGATGTAATTGGCCTGGTGTGTGTGTGTGGTGTGGTGTGTGTGTGGGTGTGCAGTAACAGATGAGCGAGTACGGGGGAAGATCTATCACGAGCGCACGCACCTCGGAGAGAGGTTTCTTATAGTCGGGGTCGCCTAGCGAACGCGATACGGCCAAATCGCCAAAGAGTCGACCGAACACGACGTGACCGCCCGCCGCTCTGATTCGCTCCTTCTCGTCCTTGTCCGTCGGCTTGTGCTTGTGCGACAACACCACCGCCCTGACACAGCACAAGCGTTCACCATCAGGCCACATGTGCGCGTGCAGCTGTTGTGAGTGCGTGTGCAGCTAAACGTACTTGTATGAGCCGTCGGCTTGCTTCTGGCCCATTATGGCCTCGGAGTCGCCGGCGTTGGCGACGTAGATGGTACGCGAGAGGATGAAGGCGGTGACGGCGGTGGTGCCATTCTTCCAGCCATCGCGGGCGCTCTTCTCGAGGATGTGGGCGTCGGCCTTGCGGAAGCCCTCCTCCAGTGCCTCTTGCATTCGCCCTTCGACGAAGCCCGGCTGCTTGATGACCTCCGCGTGCACCACCTCGGCAGCCTCCAACGCTGCCTCCGTACCCGAATGCCCTATTCGCCACCACCCAATAGAACGCATGTCGTGAGAAACTCATGCGCGTGTGTGCGTGTGTTGCAAGCAGCGAGAGGAGGGATGTTTGTGTACCGTCGTAAACGGCGTAGAAGGCGAGGGGTGGAGAGAGGCTGTCGGCGGAGGCGAGCTGCGGGAAGGCCACGCGGAGGTCGTCGATGAGGACGTGCGCATCCTCCATGGTCTTACGGATGCCCTGCTGGGATTCGTATCCCGACTCCAACCCCAGCCCCGGTCCACCGCCTCCAGACGCAACAACGGCAGCCGGGGCTGCGTGCTGGCTCTCGTCAGCCGCGGCGTCGGTCTTATCTGTACCGACCGTACGAGGACTGCCGGCTGCTTGCTTATGCGCCGCATCCTGCGCGGCACCACCTTCGCCCGGTGTCTGGTGGGCGCGGAGGGGAAGGAGTGGTCAGATGGGTGCCAATACAATCGCCCAAGTGAGGAGGGTTGAACGCACGGGCTTGTGGTCGTCGTGGAAGAGGATGCGCTTGGCAGTGCGAATCTTCTTGGCGATCTGGATGGCCTCTTCCATCGAATCGGTGGCCTCGAGTTGCTTATGCAGCGCCAACAGCTTGCTTTGGACCTAAGACGGGGAGAGTGCGTCGTCACCTACATGAACATGGCGGTGGCAAGGATTGCGTGCTAACGAGCTTGCAGAAGGTAGGTGGTACCAGCGCGATGGACTCGTCAATGGCTTCGACGATCTGCTGGAATTTGTGCGCCGGGGCAGACGCGGCCAGCGTCTCCACGTCTCCCTCGCTGCGCGGCGAGGCGGGAACAGAGATCGAACCGCTCCCCTTGCTGCCCACCCCGTCGGCAGCCGATTCGCTTTTGGCCGTGCCCTTTTGCTGCACGCATGCGGTGGAACGGTCGTTGGGAGTGGACTGGGTCAGACCGCAATGTAGCACGCGTGGATATGTTCATGTTCATGCAAGACCCTGGGCCGGCACGCACCGTAAAGAGCAGGTCGTAGGAATCGATGATGTACTTTACAACGGAGGTGACCCGCGGACCATGAAGCATGCTCTCTGTTCATTGCATGAAGTGAGATGACGAGGCCCAGAAAAAGAACAAGAAAAGGAAACGCTCAATGCAAAACGTACCGACACTCTCGTGTTGAGGGCGCAGGAGGAGGGGTCCGAAGATCATGGCGAGGTTGGTGGAGTTCATGTGGTTGCGGTGGGCGTGGTCGGCCAAGCGGGCCAGGTAGAGAAAGAGCACCTGGGCCATAGCCCGGTTGGGTGCGGGCAGTCGCTCCAGCAGACCGGCTACCGAGCTCCGTCGCTGTGCCCCGGAGGCCGCATCGGAGAGGGCGGCGGCGTCGATGAAGGCCGCGTACAGCTCCCAGGTCAGCAGCGGCTCGGGCAGGGCTCGCAGGTACTCCTTCACCGCCCCGCCTGCTCCGTGCACGCGTGCCTCGCCCGCGCTCGCCACCAACACTTTGCTCACCTCTACACGGCGACCACAGCAAGAAGAGAAGAGGAGACGATGAGCAAACGGACCAGGCGACGAGGAAAAGCGATAGAGCGTACCGCCAGCGTCGCAGGCTTTCTTGATAAGGGCGACTTCGCTTGGGTCTGCTGGGATGCGAAATAGGCCCTCTACTTCGATCGCTAATCCCCCCCCCCAAACCATTCAATCAGATTATTCTTTCAAACGGTTGGCATCCAACCGTTCGTTCCATTTGGAAATGATGTCGGTAGATAAGCTTGGATTGGGTGGGGTACCATCGCCGTTGAGAAACAAGAAGAGCTTTTTGAGGGCTGTGGGGATGCGTCGTTCACCAGGGCGGCCCATCACCACCTCAAGTCTTTCACCAAATATTCGATGGTTCGTTCCATTCAGCATAGCGCCGGGGCTGTGGAGCGAAGTGGGCTGTGTAGCTTCTTCTTCCGCCATCTTGAAAGGCCAACTACGAACACAATTACAACGGTCAAGCCCTATTTTTGCTTTTCTTTTTCCTTGTTGTTTTCCCGTGCGCCACGGGCACGAATAGAAAGAGTACCGAAGGACTGAGAAGACTCTGGGCTGACACCTGCGGGCGGCGAGGTCAGGACCTTGGCACTCCACATGGTCTGGCCACCAGAACACATGGCACTCGCACGAACTAGTTCGTGCAACAAGCACAGCGAACAGATCGCTGGCAGCCTGCTCTTGTTGGCTGTTGCGTGATTGAGCACTGGCGCGAGGGCAGCGGTAGCACCGGTGGATGGTGCGCCGTTCAGGCTGAAGGGTACACCACCCTCTGGCGAGAAGAGCGCAAAATTTACGCACACGTTGGTAGGAAATTACAGAACGAAAATAAGTGCGTGAAATTTCGGCAACAGAGTGGCGCCCGCTTTGCGGAGGAATCCCGACATTCAAACGCTCTCTACATTCACTCATCTGCAGCCACACGGCCGACAGACAATTGCTACGGCAGCTCGGGAAGGAGCGATTAGATTGATCCGGGGGACAATGGATCATCAAATAAGCAGCGTACGCAGCCTCGCTGCTACATTTTCAGATTAGAAATATATGCATCGCTCACCATCTAATTTTTGTGCAGGTTGGCCCGTACATCCTTGGACGCACCCTCGGAAGAGGCGCTACAGGTACGTCTCCCTCCTCCGAGCTTTTCATTTCACGCCTCCCCCGAACTGTTGCCGAACATCCACTTCATTTGATCAATCCATTTAATTATTCCATTTCATTTGGTTATGCAGGCAAGGTGAAGCTGGCCTATCACCGGGAGAACGGAGAACGAGTAGCGGTGAAAATCGTGACCAAGGAGTTTCTGTTCAGCAGCCCCAACATGCGCCGCAAGGTGGAGCGCGAGATCGCCATCATGAAGCTGCTCGACAACCCCCACGTGCTCTCGCTGCTCGATGTCTACGAAACCACCAAGTACCTGTACGGCTGCCGCTCTCTTGCCTCATGGCCGCAACAACAGTTGTTCTGCCATTTTTATTTATTTATTGTGAGTTTTGTATTATTAATTATTCATTTGTTGCACAGCTTTCTGGTGTTAGAGCATGTGGAGGGCGGAGAGCTATTCGACTACCTTGTGAAACGCGGCAGTCTGCCGCTACCGGAGGCCATGACCTTTTTCCTTCAAATCCTGCAGGGCGTTGAGTACTGCCACGCCCACTTTATCTGGTACACTTCTCGCTTCACTTTGATGATGTTCACACCCGCTTTGGATCCGTATGAACGACCTTTTGTTCGCGATGCGCAGCCATCGAGACCTGAAACCAGAGAATCTGCTGTTGGATGCCAACAAGAACGTTAAGATTGCGGACTGGGGCATGGCCTCTCTCATGAGAAATGGCGCCCTGCTCGAGACTAGCTGCGGGTACACCGCGCCTCTCCCTCTCCGTCATGTCTCATCCTCCTGTAACCAGTGTTCGTTCCCCTTGTCATTCTGGTTACCTCCAGGTCCCCGCACTACGCCAGCCCGGAGGTCATCATGGGCAAGAAGTACGACGGACGCTGTGCCGATATCTGGAGTCTGGGCGTCATTCTCTATGCTCTCGTACGTCTATCCCTCATCCGCCGGCCACTTGACTTACTAACGTTCGATGCAACGATTTCCTTGCATATCTCCACGGCTACTCATATATGGGCTCTTTCTCGAACAAAAGCTCACGGTAAGATGTGATCCCCGCCTGATTGTGCCGTGTGCGTCGATTTGTCACTGACGCCAGCTCTGCGCATGCACAGGGAAAGCTGCCGTTTGACGACGAGAACATGCATCTGCTGCTGGGCAAGGTGAAGAGCGGCTACTTCGCGATGCCGCAGTGGCTGCCGAGCGATGTCAAGGACCTGCTGCAGCGGATGCTCACCGTCGACCCCGCCAAACGAATCATGCTTCACCAGATATTCACGCACCCGGCCCTCACCCACGCCTCCCAAGACTACGTGGGGCCCACCTCCCTGCCCCTCGAGCAAAAGATCGCACGCCCGCTCGATGACGAACCGCTGGACGATGAGATTCTGCGCAGTTTGCATTCGCTCGGATGGGACAACAGGGAAGAGCTGCACCGTGCGCTGCTCTCCTCGGAGCCAACCGTCGAGAAGGCCTATTACCGCCTCCTCAGCAAGCGAAAGCGCCGCCGCACCAAGGGCCGGCGCTCGGGCGGTGGCCACGTCCAGAAGGTACGAATTTTCTCCCAATGCTCGCTTGCTCAGATGAGCCCCCTCGCTCACTCGTAACTGGGTGGCCCGTATGTTTCACGTGGCACAGATGGACATGGAGTCGTACGAGATGCTGCCATCGGCCTCCATGCCCATTCCAGCGTCGCAGGCGCGACGCACCACAGCACCGATGCCGATTCGCTCGAGCCCTCGCTCCATCCCGGTGGCCGCGCAGTCGCGGTCGGCAAGTGGCCACAACAACAGCGTGACCGCCGCTTCGGCTGGCAGCGTGCCCTCGGCAGACCCCATTATGGCGGCCAACAACTCGCCCGTGCTCGGCTCGACACCCAAGAAGACGTGGTTCGCCAGCTTCTTCGGATCATACAAGAACCAACAGCAACCGCCGGTCGGCAGCTTCCCCTCTTCCTCGTTCGGCACTCCCGGAAGCTTCGGCGGCTTCAACGGCTCGGGCAGTTTCTTGACGGCGGCCGCCATCGCAGGAGCAGATGGTGCGGCGGCATCGCCGTTCGCATCGCCCTCGCCCTCGCCATCGGGCGCGTCGGTACCCTACACCGTGCGAAGCACCCGACCAGCGGCGGAGCTCGTCAACCTCCTCCGGCAGGCGCTCAAGGAGCAGCAGGTCGTGTTCAGCAGCTCGGCCAACCACACCTTCCACGCCAAATACGACGCCTTGGACGGTGAGTGCCCTCCTCGCCCCGCCACTACCTTGTCAATGTATCAAGGCTTACACCCAAACGCTCCTTCTTGTGTTAGCGGCGTGTGCGGTATCGCTGACGGTGGAGCTGCGAGCGCACGACGACGTGACCTACGTCCACTTCACGCGCCGCTCGGGTGACCGCCTGACCTTCCAGACCCTCGTCGACTCCCTCGTCGCGTCCATGAACCTCCTCTGATCTTCGCTGCCTCCAAAAGCGACTGAGAGAGCCAACCGGGCCGCTGGTTGGCGTGTAAATACTCCCCCCCCCCAAACAACCACCACTCTCACTCCACTTGTGGACGGCGACGCCCACGCGCCCCATTTTACGGTAGGGGCCGCCGTGGCGGGCCGCAACCACCCGCAACTGTGAATGAACATGTCCTCCTTTTTATTTGATTTTTAATATATTCCTGTCATCACTATCAAAAATATTTGTTGTGCGGAAGAATTTGCGCGGACAAAGCGAGAGAGGGAAAAAGTCGGAGGTGCAGGGAGCAACACGCCACTCGCCGCGCCAACACGAGTAGTAGCAACACAGCCCCATCTACAGATCGATCCTATCCCGGTAGGTGTCCCTTGTTCTTTAGATTGGTTGGTGAAGGAGCTTGGTCTGCTGTTGGAGACATTGCGGCTAACTCGTCGCACATATTGCGGGTCAATTAATTCGCGTCATTCGAATTAGCACGGCAAGGATGGAGATCTTCGAAATGGAGCTTGACAAGCCCCTGGAGGGGGCCATGTCGAACGATGGCCACCTCACCAGGCCATTCTCAGACGACATCGACGCATCCCTCGATTCCGATCGTGATCGATCCAGCTCGAGCTCGTCGCCTTCCCCGCGCCATCACAAGCAACATACTCAACTGCACCACCAGCATCAACAACTTCATCCTCATCCTCTACACATTCACCCCAAGCGCCATCACGAGCATTCGCACCCGAAGTGGGACCCCGCATTTCCCTCGCCCTCTTCATCATCTGGCTCATCCGCTTCATCCTCAACAGCCTCTTCTGTTTCCTCGGTTTCGCCCACATCAATGTGGGAAGATGGCAGCCCCGGCCAGCGCAAGGCCTCTACCACCATCCCCGCGGGCGCACCTCGCCTGCGGCCCCACGGTCAAGCCGCCGCCCCTGGGCTGGTGCCATCCGGTGCCGGACGAGCGGGCGAGGCCGCACACCACAACCCGCAACAGCCGCTGCCCGTGGCGGCAGCCAAACCGGAACACGTAGACCATCATCAACATCAACAACAACCGAAACGGGAAGGAGGCACGGCGGCGACAGCAACAGCGGTAGAGGAACGGACCAGTGGAGCGGAAACCAGGGAGGGAGAGGAGGCAAAGGAAATGGGACAACCAAACAACAGCACCGCCGCTGCTGGCGGCAGAGCGGCAAGCAACACCAAGTACAATCAGATGAAGGCCAAGTACCTGCGGTCGCTCAACTTCAACGAGCAGGACGTGCAGAAGCGAGTTCTCAATGGACGTCATCGATCGCTGTCCCTCCCCGTGGCGCGACCCAACCTGGTTCCGCCGCCGTCGCAGGCGCTGATTCAACAACAGCAGAGCCAGATGGGGGCATCGCCGCCGTCGTCGTCTTCGTCGTCGTGCTCGTCGTCATCGTCTTCGCCGCTGCAATCGCCGTCGGAGGGTCCTCACCCGACAGCCATTCCCATCCCTACGCGCCGCGGCAGTCAGGCGCAGGCGGTGCCTCCAGGCGGGCTGGGTCTCTCCGACTTCTCCCTCGCTCCCGAGCCTGGAGTCAAGCTTGAATCTTCGTCGGTACGTTCACTTTCTCCCATCTCGCTGTCTTCGCACACTGTGTGCCCGTGGGCGCCTTGCACCCTCGTGCGTATTATGAGACGCGTGCACTCACACGGCCTTATCACACAGTTTGTACCGCCGCACGAGCTCGTGAAGCGAGACACGTTCTCTGTGTGGCAGTACGAAAAGAAGAAGAACGCCGCCTACAAGGCCCTCTGAGATGAAGCAGCGGTACGGCCACCTTCCACTCCTCAAGTGTTCTTTTCCGATGCCTGCCGCTTAGAAAGTCGCCGCTCATTCGCCCCAACCGTGCAGCATCGAGCGCGTGCGCTTCGGCGCCGATGTGGAACCGCCCGATCGCCTCATCATCTGTGTATAGCTTATCCTCTTTGGCCGCGACAACCCCTCTGCCTTGCCGGTGTGGTGGTTGGTGTGCAAAGGCCTTGGCCTCTTTCGTTTCTTCTTCGACCTCTCGTCTTCCTCTTTTGCTATTTATTTTTCGGCAGCAGTGTCGACATTAAAAGACTTTGTCTTTTTTTGTATTTTTTTTTTTTTGCGCATATTTGAGAGATGGAGGGATCGCCAGCCGGAGGGATGATGCCGGGCGGAGATGACCCGTATGGTGGAGGAGAGCGCTGGGCTCCGCCCGAGTTTCCCAGACTTCGATGGGCGATGGGCATCGTAGGGGGTCTCACCCTCGCGGCATTTGTCTACCATTCCCTTACCGCTGCATCTCGTTATCGCCACCAGCAAGGTGATTTTCCTTCTTCTTTCATTGAATGCACGTTTGTTCATCAATTTGTCGGTGCAACTCACCGCCTGATCTCGGCTCGGTTCTGCAGCGCAAAAGGAACGCGAGACTCGATTCATGGGCTTCCTGCACCACGAAGAGGCCAACAAGCGCCTGGTGAATGGCGACTTGGCAGGCGCCGTGAAGCACTACTCCAAGGCTGCTCGCTTTGCCCTGCGTGGCGAGCCGGGCGATGATGTCGCTGCCGCCGCCGCTGCTGCCGCCGGCGTCGATCCCGCCTTCATCGTGCCCGACTTTGACGCTCCCGGCGCCGAGGGCTGGGCGCTGTCGCTGCTGCAGCGCGCTGCCGCCCACTGGAGCACGGGCGATGCCAACAGCTGCGCCCGCGACTGCTTGGCCGTCCTTCGCGTGCTGCCTCGCCAAGCGGCTTCGCCCGTTGACGAGAGCGAGACTATCAGCCCGCCGACACCGGAGGCTTCGGAGGCTTCGGAGGCGCAGCCGGAGGCGGGCGCCGGGGTGGCGGCCGTGATGACGGAAGCGGGACCGCCGGAACAAGGCGGCGAAGAGGAGAAGGTGAGCAAGGAGGAAGAGGAGAAGCGAGCGCTGGAGAAGGAGGCGCGAATGCGAAAGGACAGGCTGGAGCGTATCACGGCCCGCGCGACGGAGCTGCTCGGCCGAGCGCTGGCCGCGAGTGGCCAGCCGCTAGCGGCGCTCCTGGCTCTTCAGCGGTGCACCCAGGCCCGCAGCAAGAGGCGCGAGGCTGCCCTCGTCCAGTTCCAGCACGTGCGTACACCTTTTCGAGCGCTGGGATTCACCTGCATCAACCCGGGCAGCTTGATCTCACAGTCGCTTGTGTTGATACCACTTCAGTTGAAGGAGAGCCTCCAGAACGCCCTCGCAGCAGAGAACGGGCAGTCGCACTGGCCGGTCAAGGTCGTAGTCGGACACGAAGGAGGTGCTCGGGGAGTCCTGGTGGCGACCGAGGAGATCGCCGAGGGGGGAGAGATCCTCGTCGAGGAACCGTTCCTCGCCGCTCCCTGGTCCGCGCAGGACCTCGTGCAGAAGGTCTACTGCGTTCACTGCCTGCGACGGCTGGCCCAGCCCGACGTCGACGGTGCACCCAACAAGGGCATTGCTTCCGCCCCGGTCGTAGCGGAAGCGCGCTCGGGCTACTGCAGTTCAGTCTGCGAGGCCGCGGCGTGGCTCCTGCATGACCACCGGCCGTCATCACGGCCGGCCCAGCCCGCGGGTCCGAGCAGCGATCAGACCGGGGCCGAGGAGCGCACAAGCCTCTACCTGCTGGCCAAGCGCGTCTTGGCCTGCCTGGCCTACGGCGAGAGAGAGCCCATGCTGCAGCCCCTGTGGACCACGTTCGATGCGGCCATCCGCTCCCTGCCCACATCGGAGGCCGAGGCCAAGGGAGTCGGCCACGAGCACGCCGAACTGCAGGCCTTCGTCGAGTCCCTCCGCAACGACGTCGCCCAGCAGTCGGAGCAGCAGGCCGGGCCATCGACGAGCGAGACGGGCTGGGATGCGTCGTCGCTGGTGTCTCAGCTCCGCGGCGGCGCCTTGCCGGTGATGGAACAGCAGCAGCAGACCGAAGGCTGTCGCGGCGTCGGTCTCTACCTACTGGGCAGCCACGTCGGCCGCTCTTCGCCGACAGCGGAACCCAATGCCCGAGTCGTGTTCAGCGATGCCGACTCCACCCTTCGCCTCGTGGCACTCCGACCGATCCCCGCCAACGAGGCCGTCGTCATCAGCAGCTCCGCCTCCTCCCCTGCACTTGCCTCCTCGGCTTGATAACTCGCTTGCCCCTCCGAACGAAAATGAATGGATGTCGACACATTTCTGCCTTCCAGAATTTATTTGTCGACTCATGGAATGATATCGGGGGTCTTTCTGGCGGTTCTTTCTTTTTCTCTCTCTCTCCCTCCCGCATCACCCGTCGTCGCCGACTCCAAGGATGGGTGCGTCCAACTGGCCCTGGTTTTCCTGTGGTGTCCATCATGTCTGTGGGCCTCTCAAGTCGCTGGTCTTGAGCTTGTCCGAACGCTAATCGATTTGTTGTTGGGTCCTTGATCAGGTATCTCCCGTGATTCGAAGCACAAGAGGCGCGCCACCGGTGGCAAGCGTAAGATCCACCGCAAGAAGAGGAAGTTCGAGCTCGGTCGCCCCCCGGCGCTTACCAAGCTCGGCTCCCAGAGGATTCACCCCGTCAGATGCCGTGGTGGCCGCATCAAGTACCGCGCTCTGCGTCTCGAGACCGGCAACTACGCCTGGCCCTCGGAGGCTGTCACCCGTAAGACGAGGGTCCTCGGTGTCGTCTACAACGCCTCGAACAACGAGTTGGTGCGCACGAACACCCTTGTGAAGAGCGCCATCGTCCAGATCGATGCCACCCCCTTCCGTCAGTGGTACGAGCAGCACTACGGCATCAACCTCGGTAAGGCTAAGACCGGTGCTGCTGCCCCCGCTAAGACTGAGGTACGACTTCCATCACATTCCTAACTCAACAATCATACTTCTAGATTCCTAAAACGATGTCTATCTCCAGGCCAAGAAGGAGGCTGCCCCCAAGAAGGGAAAGAAGGAGTCGACCAAGAAGGACGCCAAGAAGGAGGCTGCCCCCAAGAAGGAGGGTGAGGCTGCTGCTGCCCCCGCCGAGCCTGCTGCCCCCGCTGTCGTGACCGACAACACCAGGAGGAAGCTGGCCGAGAGGAGGAAGGAGCGCATCCCCCTCGCCCAGTCGCTTGTCGACCAGTTCGCTGCTGGCCGTCTCTACGCGAGCATCACCTCCAGGCCTGGCCAGTGCGGCCGCTGCGACGGCTACATCCTTGAGGGTGAGGAGCTCAACTTCTACCTCAGGAAGCTCCAGAAGAAGAAGGGTAAGGCTCAGCAGTAAATTGTTCATTCCAATCTTATTTCCGCCCTTGGTCGGCCTAGGCGACTTTAAATAAACAAAAACTCCAACTACATCCTCCTGTTCGTCTCCTTAGATCAAACCATTCCGTTGTCCGATTCATCCAAGAAGGTGTTTTCCCCGATTTTAGAAGTGTTTTCGAATTTCTAAGCACCCGTCTGTTTCCTTGTTCTTTAGCGGCACAGTGACCATGGATGGCGAACACGATGAAGTGACCTCCTCTGTGGGCAGCTCTACGAAGCGTCCTCTGCCGGACCAGCCAGACCAGCCTGACGATGCGGCGTTGCAGGTTCTTACTGTGTTCCAATATTTTCATTCATGCATCTCAATCTTTCATCTCCGGAGGCTGCAATGCGTTTCTCACCGTGCCGTCAGGCGGCCAAGCGGCAGCGCACCGAAACCGATGGGCAGAGCGAAGAGCCAGCTTCGCCACTGCCGCGGGGCCGGTCCGGCAAGCTGAACCTCAAGGAGGTGCTCGCCCTGCTCAACGCCGACACAGGCGATGCACAGGCCCAGGGTTCGTGCTCCCCTTTTCTCTCCCTCGCTCTGTTCTTGGTGCCGCCATCATTGGCCAAGGCTCGAGCTCATCGACGATCGGTGCAGGTCTGCGAGCACTTAAGGGTGACGGGCGCCACCTGCACGAGGTGATGATCGCCTACGTAGAATCCTCACCCGAGTGCGTTGAGCTGTTCCGGTTGTGGGAGAACAACCAAAAAGCCGTACGGATCGACTCCCCTTTCTTCTCTCCCTCCTCCGCTGCTGCTTCTTGTTGTCTTGTTGGTTGCTCACCACCCTCCTCTCTCTCTCTCCCCCCTGATGCGAACGGTTAGAGCGTGCGCGACTGGCATGTGGAAGTGGGGGTCGTGGAGTGCCTGGCCCTCATTCTCTCGGGCGGCCACGCTCAGTCCACCATGCGCCAGGTAGCGTATCGTCTCACCACGCCAGATCTGACAGCGCACCTCTTCGCTTTCTCCCTCTTCTCTTTCGTGCACTCACCCCCGCGCTCGGGCACAGACGCGAATCTTCATTTGCAGGAGGGTGATGCGACACCTGATGAAGACCGTCTACAGCAACCTCGCATCGGGCAGCACACGCTCGGCGTCCGCCGCGCTGCAGCTGCTGACCCACGTCGTGGGCACCTCCACCGCCACCGCGCGCGAATTCACACAGCAGTTCGACTTTGCCTTCAAGGGCCTCCCCAAGCTCGCCAAGGCCAAGACCCAGAAGCAGCCCACCCAGCGCGCACCCGAAAACTGTGCGTCTGCCCATCACTTCACACCTCCATCACCGCCAGCCGGCACTGACCATCATCGTTCTCTCTCTCTTTGTGTGTGCGTGTGTGACAGTCCTGCGGCGACAATTCATCAGGTTCTGCGGGGCGTTCCTGCGCACCGGCGATCTGGGCATCGTTGGTGCGGTGGTGCGCAAGGGCCTGTTCGCGCACCTGTGGCGTGACCTGCCTCACGACTCCCTCCCGCTCGCCCAAGACCTCCTCCCCGTGCTGCACAAGCATGTTCTCCTCAACCCGCTTCTCCCCAACAAGCTCAAGCAATACGTACGCATAACACACACACACACACACACACACACCACAGGCGCACTTGGACGGTCGCTAACGGCATTGCTTCTGTGCCGCGCCCCAGATCTTCACACCCTTCGCAGTCGAGCAGGTCGCGCGGCTGCTCAAGGCCGCTTGTGGCCGCCAGGATGTCAGGCTGCAGCGGCTCGTATCCAACTTCATCCGCGACGTCGCTGCCACTGACGCCGGTCTCTTTGGCTCCGCCTCGACTCCCTCCAACGCCAAAGCGGCCAAGGCGCTTTCAGAGTACGCACCCCCCCCCCGGACGCGTCTCGTGCTCGTGCACTCGCTCACCACGTGTCGTGTCGTTGGTCGTGTCGTTGGTCGTGTCGTTGGTCGTGTCGTTGGTCGTGTCGTTGGTCGTGTCGTTGGTCGTGTCGTTGGTCGTGTCGTTGGTCGTGTCGTTGGTCGTGTCGTGTCGTGTCGTGTCGTGTCGTGTCTACAGGGCGGAGCAAGAGAAGCAACGCAAGAGGGAACGAGCAGTCGTGCGCCTCTTGGCCGCCCTCGACGCTAACATGGACCCCGTGCAGCAGCGCCTCGTGCTCCAAGTCCTCAAGGCCAACCCACGAGTACCCCCAGAGCCCCACCAGCCCACACTTGAACGCCTGGGTTGGCACTAACTCGCGTGCGAATCTCTGCCGCGCCCAGCTCATTCCGGACTATGTGGCGGCGCCGAGCTACTCGCTGGACCCGCGGCCGACGCTGCTCTGGCTGGCCAACGTGAACCTGTTCACCAGGGTTCTCTCACTGCCGATCGACCACCCGTCCGGCATCGCCCTGCCACCCGCGCCGCTCCTCGGCTCCGCCACCGCCGAACACGAGGAGGAGGAGCGCGACGCCGAGAACTGGGCCGTCAAGGCCGCCGAGCAAGGTACCTTGGCCGTGTGAACTGAGCCGCACGCGCGCGTCTCGTGCGACCGGTTGCGTAGCGATGAGACTGACATCGACCGATGCTGCTGCTGCTGCGTTGGTTACAGTGGTGCCGCATCCGGTGAATAGGGGCGTGCTGGGGCGTGCGCTGCAGCACCAGTCGCGGCTGGTGCAGTCGCACGGTCTGCTGCTGCTTCTCGCGGCGCTCCGACGGGTGGAGGCCGTGCGCGCGCCGCCCGGGCTCGAAGCGCGGCTGCGCCAGGCCATTGCCGCGCGCCTGCCCGACGTGCAGACCCTCCTGAGCCTCCACCAGCGCTACGCGCCGCGCGCCGCAGCCGGCGAGCCCGACGCCCTCCACTACTCGCTCCTCCTGCGCGCACTTGCCCACTACCAGGTACTCCTCGCCCGCCTGCGGACGCGACCGACACCTAAAGACGCTCATCGGTGGTTGTTGGG